CCTTGGGCACGCCAGAAACCTATGATTGTGGGTTCGAATCCCGGTTCGCCCCGATTATGTTTCTAGGTTTGTCAGCACCATACCCGTGCTCGTGGGTTTCACCGCTGTGTTAAAAGTCTAAGACCTGCATCCCTTCGAGGTTTTTGTTCCCACATTAAGCTGACACGCCCATATATAAATGGAATAATGTTAAAAGCGGCGTTAAACCTAACTCACTCACTCACTCACATTTATAGGCTCTTCGGGAGCAAGCGTGGTTGACTGTGTCATTGCTCCGTCTCCCTTGTTTACATCTTCCCGAGGCAAGAGAGTTAACTGACTTTAACAGTGGAAACTGGACTTTTAAAGTCAGTTAACTCACTTGCCTCGGGAAGATGCCTTGTTTACGACGTGTTGTGCATTCAATATCGAATCTAGGTCAGATTCATCACATCTTCCTATGATGTGCTCATTTCAGTCACACGCCACTGAGACCGCCGAGACAACTTGTACTGCAGTGTACAGGTTCAAGTGGGATGTCAATCAACAGTATCTATTCAGAGACAAACTCTCGTCTGAGTTTCGGGATATAGATAAAGCGGTATGTGTTTGTTGAGTGATTGTGTTTGTGCAGCCACTGAGTCAATGAAGAAATACGTAAAGATCAAATGTAATAATTCTAACAAAATGTTTGACAAGGAATGCAATTTCTATAGATGTGGATGTCGTAGACATCTACTGCGGTTTTTAGAAAGCGTAAAAAACAGTTTGTCCCACAGTCGTTATACATACGAGCAATGATTACACTAATGTATTGCGGGAGACGAAAGTAAGGTATTATGATTCTATTCGTGATAAACTAACAGCCAACATAAATAATACGAAAGAGTTTTGGAGAACTGTACGAGATATAAGTGAGTAAATGAGTTAAAATGTAACGTCGCATCAGCGTTATTTCAGTCAAAACGCGACGAGAACAAGTTGATATATACCATGAGTCATGAATTCAAAGTTATATTGAAAAACTAATTTGTCAAACATGTTTTATCAAAACAATATTATTTGCAACTAGTACGAGTTATGAATTAATCTACACAATCCAAATATATCTATTGATATGATATAATCATTTTGACATTATCTTCCACAAATCAAATGGTAATGTTGATGATATCATTCAAGGGCGGACGCAGCAGTTTTAAATGGGAGGGGTCCAAAATATCAAAATCTTCTCACAGTCAATATCGGGGGCACGGGTGGCCCAGTCGTCTAAGGCGCCGCGATTCGCTGTCCAGAGTTTCGTCCCTTGGGCATGCCGGAAACCTATGATTGTGGGTTCGAATCCCGGTTCGCCCCGATTATGTTTCTAGGTTTGTCAGCACCATACCCGTGCTCGTGGTTTTCACCGAAGTGGTAAACGTCTGAGACCTGCATCACTTCGGGCTTCCTCCCACATTAAGCTGACACGCCACGATATAACTGGAATACTGTTAAAAGCGGCGTTAAACCTAACTCACTCACTCACACAGTCAATATCACTGCCTCCAACATACAATATTCGGTTTTCAAAAGGGAGGCAGGGGGTCCGGAAATACATCTAATATCTGAATAGCAAGCAGGATTCCGAAAGCGTTACAGCACCACAGACAACATTATTATTTTGCACTCTCTTATACAGATACTGTTATAATAATCCCTAAACACGGCAAGCTCTATCTGGCCTTTGTGGGTTTTACTAAGGCGTTCGATTTAGTTAAAAGAAAGAAACTATGGTATGTTCTAAAATGTTTCAAAAATGTTGAATACCTTACAACCAATTTATAGTTGTGTTAAGGCATGTGTCAGAGCTAACAATATATTGTCAGACCATTTTGATTGCACACTGGGACTAAGACAAGGATGCGCTGTAATCACGCTATTGTTCTCATTGTTTATTAATGAACTTGCTGATGAAATAGAATCTATATGCGGATCTGGTGTTCAGCTTCATCCCGATGTCATTCGATTTTTTCTGCTTTTGTTTTCTGACGATGTGGCACTTATTTCATCCACAATTATTGGTCTTCAGAAACAGATTGATACTTTGGTGACAGTATTGTTATGATTACAATTTGTCTGTTAATTTAGATAAAACCAAACTTCTTTTTCCATGAAAATGATTTAGAAAATAATATTCCAAGGTACGAATATAATGTAATGTCAGTAATTCGTCAGTGCATGGATCTGAATTTGTGGGTAATGTCAGTGATTTGTCAGTGCATTGATCTGAATTTGTGGGTAATGTCAGTGTTTGTCAGTGCTTTGATCTGAATTTGTGGGTAATGTCAGTGATTTGTCAGTGCATGGATCTGAATTTGTGGGTAATGTCAGTGATTCGTCAGTGCATTGATCTGAATTTGTGGGTAATGTCAGTGATTCGTCAGTGCATGGATCTGAATTTGTGGGTAATGTCAGTGATTTGTCAGTGCGTGGGTCTGAATTTGTTGGTAATGTCAGTTATTCGCCTGTGCATTGATCTGAATTTGTGGATAATGTCAGTGATTTGTCAGTGCATGGATCTGAATTCGTGGGTAATGTCAGTGATTCGTCAGTGCATGGAGCTGAATGTGTGGGTATTGTCAGTGATTTGTCAGTGCATGGATCTGAATTTGTGGGTAATTTCAACGTTCCATTTCCACCGTGACAAGACGGTGTGATAACAGTAACTATATTCTCTAGCGTCGGCAAGGTTTAATTTTAAAGTCGAGGTTCATGTCAAGGCACACTTCACATAGGTTCACAAATGCTGTTTTGGCCAGACAAACCAATGATTGATATTATGAGCAGCGTTGGATATCCTCGGTACAAGTACACACAATGAACAAAGTCACAGAGCCGGACCACACAATCCATTGCGTCGCCTCGTAATACAACATGTATTGGTTTCTAGGGACCGATTCAAACCCAGAATCGGCGATAGCAACTGATGTGATGCAGTTCAGGATTACCCCATCCGCCTATATTATCCATATATCAGTTGCAGACAATCTAGTACCATCATACAAACAAATGGAATTAACATGTAAATATTTGAATATTTTATTTTTGTTGTTATTTATACTTTTCAAGTACATTATGTATCAGAACGTTCTATCAGAAAATATATGTAGCAATATACAACTTATTTTCGTATGAAAATGTACAACTGCATAGCATTTTTACATAAAGTAATATTTCATTTACACAATCACTCATCATGATAATAATATATCGCTTTTCAAGCGACCACAACCGCAATACAAACAAGATTCACAACAGGAGCTTTGCCTGTGAAATACAGACATATGTATATAAATACACAAAATATGACAGCGATGGGACGCACCCCTAGGGTTCCATCTGCATAAGTTACACAACATTGGTGACAAGGCCCAACAAACATGCATGTAAGAAATGACACAATGAACACGAAACATTGGGTTGGCTGCGGAATAAAAACAAATCGTACGCATTACAGATGGCAAGTCATTGGTAGGGTCGCTTCAGTTCAGTGTATGAGTTATAACAGCTTAACTTGGAAGGGAAGCCCAAAGTGATGCAAGTCTTAGACGCTTGCCACTTTGGAGAAATCAGGGAGCACGGGTATGGTGCTGACAACCATTAATGACAATTAGGAAGGGTCTTGGATTCGATCACCAGGCCTCCAGTACTTCCTGATAGAAATTGGCATTAATTACAGAAAGACAATGCTCCACTTTCTGTAACTCATTGATACCCATTTTCTGAGTGATTAGGGTAATAATTAATATGTACATTGGTATACTCTACTCAAAAGAAGTTAAGGAATACCCAATGGTTTGACATGACCACAGCTAATCTGCCATGGCGTGACATTTTAAGTAGAGTCATATGAAAGAAGTCAGCTGTTCTTTAACTTCTTTTGAGTGGTATACATAATAAAATACGAGTTGCCAGACAAAGTCGAGCTTGAACGACTTGAATCGAATTTGCTGAGGCTGCCATTATCATAACACACATTATGTATAAATGAAGGATTTCTTTTTAACCTAAACTGTATTTTAGTTTTTTTAACTTTAATTTTCAGAGGGACTTTTAGCGATAATGCAATATTCTTGCACATACCAACTAACAGGATGTGGGTGACACGCTCAATTTGCCATTGATTGAGTTTGTCCAAATTCCTGTCTGAAAGTTTGGACTCTAACGTCGCATAATTTAATTTGAATATTTATATACACATATAATATTAAAAGAATTAAACCTGTTCTGTTTATAGAATCAATCCTGTTTTGTATATACAATCTTAACATGCAGTAATAATGCACAAAGACACACCTAGTGTGGGTAACAGGTATTAATACACAAACATCTAGGACTACTATAGGAATGACACGAATTTAACAAAATATAATCTATTTAATAACGCTGAAATAAATAGCTCTCCACCGAGTCTTCACCAACAGTAGCACTTCTGAGACGACTCGAGCAGGGAATGGACACTTGTAGAACAGGCCGCTTACAAGGAGGCGACCGTGTTAGGCTCTGTTATATGTGAAATACATCCCACGAGGTCATCCACGGACAGGGAGGATATTTTAAGTGCTATTTATATTGCGTAATAATGAATATAAATATACATTTTAAAGCAATTCAAGATGGTGATTCAACATGTAATTAAATGTAAACTGATGGGCAATTGAAAGTGAGTGAGTGAGTTCGGTTTAACGCCGCTTTTAACATTATTCCATTTATATCGTGGCGTGTCAGCTTAATGTGGGAGGAAAGCCCGAAGTGATGCAGGTCTCAGAAACCCACGAGCACGGGTATGGTGCTGACAAACCTAGAAACATAATGGGGGCGAACCGGGATTCGAACCCACAATCATAGGTTTCTGGCGTGTCCAAGGGACGCAACTCTGCACAGCGAATCGCGGCGCCTTAGACGACTGGGCCTACCGTGCCCCCGGCAATTGAAAGTATACACCCATGTTTGACGGTGATGTATTTGATACGGGTATCGTAGGCGATATTACATGCATCATACCATTGAGTATCAGACTGCCGGCTGCGTTCTGGACCTTACGATGGCAGTGTTTCGGCGACTGTTTTCAGACTTGTAGCCTTTTGGTAACGTTCGTAATTGTTCGGTCAAATCCGATTTTCAAGTGTATAATTTCTTTCGCCCAACAATTTAAAATGGCCCCTGACTTTAAAAATAAGAATCTATCTATCTATCTATGTATATATTGTCGAGATGAGCAGACGGTGAGACAGTAAACATTAAAAACCCCGAGTAGAAATCATACTAAACGGTGGGCTAAGAAATCTAAACATCTAAACATTCAACGGTTTCTGTAAGCTCTCTTGGAAGGGTGAGCTACAACGCGCCACAACACAACTTAATGTAAAACACTTTTATACCAGGGCTTTCTATACGTATGTAAAACAAGGCTGTACGGTCACTATGGAGCGATGCACACACAGTGATAGCTAAACAGAAAGATGAAAGTGCATATTTTGAGATAAAGAAACGGGATATTCTCAAGTGAAAATGTACTACTGAGTCGTGAATTGACGATAGCATGAATATATTGTTCTAAACATCAGACCTGAGCGAATACATGTTGAAAAAGTAGAAGGCATTTCTACGTGGGTGATGAATTGAAAGTTTCAATTGATGAAAAGACGTGAGTATTAGACTTCTCTTTATGGAAGATAATATAACCTTGCTAAATGAAAGTAGCGTGTGAGATAAGATGAATACTATTTGCACTGGTATGAAGACGAACACATACTTAAGTAAAGGCAGATGGATTAAATAGATTTGGAACCATTCGTTCATACGCTCCTACATTCGTACATTCGGCCGTTCTGAATATACAATATAATATAATACAAGTATCTTGCTCATAATTAACATAAATATATATATAATATGTATAGCACAGACAGGTTCTGCCATTAAACATAAGCAACTCTGAATAGCAGCGTTTTGTCACCTCTTCATCACAACCACTGATACAAATAAATCGTACGGATACATATAAATCTTTAAGACATAAATAGACCCTTTGTTCACTGAAAGACCCCCTCCCCCCACGATCATAACCACCAGAACTGTCATAACCATAAATGCACTTTAAAAATGAGTATACATTTGCGTTCCAGTTATAAATCAGTGAAACCCCGTTAACCCAGACGTATTGTTATTCAGGGTCTTTACATGTTAATGTTAACTGGGTCTGTACTAACGGGGTTTTCTGTAAGCGTGCTTTACCTTAAGAAAACCATAATGGCGTAAGTTGTGATCATCTTGAAGGTTAAAACATTGTTTATAATGCGCATTAATATTTACATGGAATACAGAACTATTATCACAACTGTTGTAATCTATTTCCAAACAATAAATTTGTCACTTGTAACACCCTTTTTTACACGTGTAGGAAAAGTCTACATAACAAGTGTATTACGAATAGGCATTCCCGAACACATCACATGGTGGAATAATATTGAATTAATATCGTAATATTAAAAAAACGTCTCCAATGAATGACAGATATTAACATTTAACAAAACCTTTCACGAAATAACTTCCATATACAAAGATGACAACTGACCTCTATAATACACTTCACATCCACATTTCTAATACCGCGCGTAATATAAAAAGTAGAAAATATCCAACAGAAAGAACATTAATCTTAACAATATGTAAATAATAAACAAACAAATCACATCAATACATATACAATTAATATCCAAATAATTAATTAATTTCGTCAATGCCATAAACGGGTGTTTACCTAAACACTTTTCATCATTTAAATTTTCTCGAACTATTAGAAAGAATGGATGAATATTACTTTTTTATACAGAGAGACCTGAAAATTGTAGTTTCACAGAATTTCTATGTTTAACAATATATATTTCAAATTTCTTCTTTGGAGTATTGATTTTTTCCCGATGACTCAGATCTGGTGGTTGTTTCCCGAGATATCACAGAATAGAGCACGCATCATGTTCACGTGTGCGTTCAGCAGTTGCGTTCGTCACTGTTGTCCACGCAGTCGTACTTAATACCGTCACAGAAGTATTCCGCCGGTGCGCACATCCCGTTGTCACACTTCCGCTTTCCGGATTCACAGCCTGAAATGTCATCAATTGCTGTTATAGTCATACTGTGAGAAATATACAGTGAACCCCAGTTACATCTCCAGTCACGTGATATCCACGTGATATCCCCGGATTAACCAATCATGGAGTAAATGGAGTCTTGTTTGTTTGTTTGTTTGCTGTTTAACGCCGTACTCAGCAATATTCCAGCTATGTGACGGCGGTCTGTAAATAATCGAGTCTGGAAACCAGACAATCCAGTGATTGATATCATGAACATAGATCTACGCCATTGGGATACGGTGACATGTATCAACCAAGTCAGCGAGGCTGACCACCCGATCCCGTTAGTCGCCTCTTACGACAAGCATAGTCGCCTTTTACGGCAAGTATGGGTTGCTGAAGACCTATTCTACCCCGGAATCTTCAAGGGCCTGTAAGTGGAGTAATGTCCTGTGTTGATATAAAGAGGATCCTGCGTCATATCGAATTACCGAGGTTTTGCTAAACTGACGGGCAAATAAAAGTGTACACCCATTTTTGATTGTGCCTAAAATCGAAACAAGAAAAGGTTACTCAATGGCGATGAATTTGATGGTTATCATAGCTGTGGACCTTAAGTTTGCAGTGTTTGTGGGACTGTTTTCAGTCATGTAAAGTTGTGAAAATGTTGGTAATTTAAACCCATGTAAGCAGCAATACCAATATCAGAATTGTTTGTGTAAAAGCCTGGCTTTAGCCGCATCATTCTCTACAGAAAGATGGAGTGTTTACTGTTGTGTACATCTGAATAGACTCAACACAACTGTGCCAATGATTATATGTGGTGGAGTAACATTATACGACTTACTTCCAGGTGCGGCAGTTGTCGGGATCGTGGAAATGGAATCTGGGAGTTCTGAAATTCAAACCCAATAATCAGTGTACTGCTGAATGATCCTGTGATATCTGAAATCTTCAGCCCACTATGACATATATTGGGCGTCAATGGTACGTGCCATTCTATCTATCTCTCAATTGGGTCACTTTACAAAATAACTGGATAACGCTTCATAACAACTGGGTCACTTTACATAACTGGGTCACTTTACATAACTGCGTCACTTCACAAAACAATTGAGTCACTACACATAACAACTGCGTCACCTTACAAAAGAACTGGGTCACTTTACATAACAACTGAATCACTTCCCAAAACAGTTGGGTCACTTTACATTACAATTGAATCACTTTACATAACAATTGAACCACTTCACATAATAATTGGGTCACTACATAACTGAATCACTTCACAAAACAATTGGGTCACTTCGCAAAACAACTGGATCACTTTACATAACAATTAGGTCACTTCACAAAGCAACTGGATCACTTTAGACACCAATTAGGTCACTTTACAAAACAATTGCATCACTTTACATAACAACTGAATCACTTTACACAGGTGAGTTGGACAATAAGGACGATTGGGTCACTTGACATGATTGGTTGGTTGGTTGGTTTGTTGTTTAACGCCGTACTCTGCAATATTCCAGCTATATGACGGCGGTCAGTAAATAATCGAGTCTGGACCAGAAAATCCAGTGATTGATATCATGAGCATCGATCTACGCAATTGGGATCGATGACCTGCATCAACCAAGTCAGCGAGCCTGACCACCCGATCCCGTTAGTCGCCTTTTACGACAAGCATAGTCGCCCTTTATGGCAAGCATGGGTTGTTGAAGACCTATTCTAGCCCGGATCTTCACGGGTCCACTTGACATGAAGCACTCCTCATAAGAAACACTTGATTTTAAATTGTTCTTTTGACAACAGACATTGTGGTTTGGGAAAACTAGTGATAACATAAGGCGTTAACGAGAGTCGCCTGTATCCGACCCAGCTCTGTACTTACCGTCCTGACATCTGTTGTTGAGGAGTCTCACATCATCTATTGCCACATCAGCTTGTGTCCTATTACCTCTCTGAGCAACAAACACCAGCGTGAGGCTCTGGGACACTGGTAGGTCCATACACTGACGCTTCCACCTCTGATTCCCGTCCGCTTTGTCTTGAAACAGAAGCGTGACCACACCGTTCGTATTGTCCCGCACTTTTACCGTCAAGTTGCCTAGGTGCATGTTCTGGAACTGGGGGTACTGTTGGAACGCGCTGTAGATTTGGTAGTAGAAGCTGACACCGTTGCCACTGGAGGTGAATGAGGGCGACTCCAGTGTCGTTATTGCATTTGTGACCCCATCGGTGCCGTCTGCGTATATGTAGTGACCTGCATAAAGGAGGACCAAATGTGATACTCTGTTATACAATCAAATATGTGATGGCGTCCAATTACCCTGAGGTGTCCCTCTTATTTACGTTAAATCTAAATAAATCGAATAATTATCATACCAAGACTATGTTGATGTGTAATTGATGAGTGAGTGAGTGAGTATGGTTTTACGCCGCTTTTAGCAATATTCCAGCAATATCACGGCGGGGGACACCAGAAATGGGCTTCACACATTGTACCCATGTCGGGAATCGAACCCGGGTCTTAATCGTGACGGGCTAACGCTTTAACAACTAGGCTACCCGACCGCCCCTGTAATTGATGAAATGATACCATTCATAATTGATGTGAATTTGAATTGTCAGTTTATTAGCCAGTGACTATTGTTTATCGCTGCAGTCAGCACTATTCCACTGCGGCCTATAAATAATCGAGTTAAGCGGACAATCCAGTGGTTGATATTATGATCAGCGTGCCACACTGTTAGGGTACATTGACATGCAATCAATATAGTCACTGAGCCTGGACACCCATTTTAGCTGCTTCAAACTAATTAATGGGACCAATCATATCCCGGAATCCCCAAGGGGCCCGTCTTTACGACAGTGAGAGAGTGAGTATGTTTTTACGCCGCTCTTAGCAATATTCAAGCAATAACACATCGGGTACGCTAGAAATCGGCTTCACAAATTGTGCCAATGAGAAGAATCGAACCCTGGCCTTCAGCCTGACGAGCGAACAGATGAAATGACACATGAGCGATATTCAAGCAATAACACGTCGGGTACGCTAGAAATGGGCTTCACAAATTATGCCAATGAGAAGAATCGAACCCTGGCCTTCATCCTGACGAGCTAACAGATGAAATGACACATGACACGTGGTTATTGTAACTTACCTGTGTGATTGCCGAAAGTATGGTCCGAGTTTGGTCCTGTGCTAGGCGTGATTGTCTCCCCTGAACGACGAGCCCACTTGTACGCCGTGTCGTTAAATGTGTAACCACAGAGGAAGTGGTTTTCAAAATCACAGCTGACCGAAACAAGATGTGCTGAAACAGAAAGGGATCATATCAATGAGGATCCATAACACATGTCCTATAGTGACATCTGACGTTACATGCATTCATGAAACCCTTTAAAGAGGATATATAACAAGACTGCGACACACGACATAGACATTTATTTGTTACATATGGTTACTTGAAAATAAGGTATGTACCACAAAAAAAGGTACAAAACCGACTTGTCACATTGGCAAATATAAAAGTATATACCTATGTTTGATGGCCAAAAATTAAACAAACAAGAAATGGTTATTCGATAGGGATGTATTTAATACCGGTGTCATAGTTGTATTTTGGACCTCAAGTTTCAGTGTTTCCGCCATTGTTTTCAGCATGTTTTGGAACATTTCTAATGTATGGGTCAAATACAATTTTGAAGTGCATACTTTCTTTTGCACAGCAATTTAGAACGCACTTGTCATTCAGAGTAATATATACATCAGTTTCTAAAGACTTACAGCATATCTCCGCTTCATCTGTGTTGTCCAAACAGTCCATGTGTCTATCGCATGTTTTCTCCAGCGGGATGCAAGGGCCGTCAGGACACTTGAACTCCTCGGCTGTGCATTCTGGTAAATACGAAACAGGTATTCAATGTGTAACTGTACCGTTGTAATTATGTTTCTTTGTTTCTTTGTTGTTTAACGCAGCAATATTCCAGCTATATGGCGGATCTGTAAACAATCTTTTCTGGACCAGACAGTCCATTAATTGGCATCATGAGCATCGATCCACGCAATATGGATACGATGACAAGCCTCAACCAAATCAGCGAGGTTGACAACCCGACCCCATTAGTCGCCTCTTTCGACAAGCATGCGTTGCTGAAGACCCTTCACGGGTTCGCTGTAGGTACACCTCCATTGAAAATTATCCTAGATAATCCAACACCAGCATATACTTATTTCAAAACAATAAGGCTTTCGGCAAGTTTTACCTGATATATTTAAATCAAAACTCTTATAATTTAGTATTTTCATTTTACAATAAAGACATTTCATTCAAATAATTTTTACATCGAAGACTTTCGGCAGCCATCGAATATTACCTGACACCCTTCGTGCGACATGTTGCCGTTAATAAATTCAGGTAGCTCTCGGAAGTCATAAGTTCGAAACGATCTAATTGTGAGAAACTTCTAGTCTGGGGGAAAACAATTTCAAAAAGGGAGACAACTCACTACACCCGGCTTCATCACTGGCGTCCTTACAATCCACACGACGGTCGCAGAAACTGCCTTGAGGTAGGCAGTAGTTCTCAGAAGCACAGGGCATTAGATCTTGATCACAATCTGTCCAACACAAAAAAGACACATGCATGTAATTGTATGCACCTAGAATACATGGCTATCATTTGTCATCTGGACCTGAACGTTCTTGTAAGGGAGGCTACTAACCCACTCTCAGTTATTGTTTTAATACAACCATAACTCGCCTATCGCGGGATTCTATAAATAAACCAGCCTGGTAATAAAATTGAACAAATGATATATTGACCAATTTTAGGACACAAAACAGCCAATGAGTAAAAAAATGTAAACAAAAGTTAAAAAAACCCGATATCCTGATAAAAACACATTTCTTCAACTTCCCACACTCACCAAACTGGCCACACGTGCCCTCAGTGATGTGGATGTCGTCTATTGCGATGAAGGGTTTATAGGTTTGGTCGTATACACCGCCGATGACGGTGTACTCCAGCTTCACGCTGCCGGAGACGGGAATGTTCACTTGCGTCTTCGCCCAGCCGTGGGTTCGCCTGTTCTTGATGTCCCATAGCAGGTTGGCGACACCTGAGCCATTCCTCGTGTACGTAATCTGAGTCGAGAGAAAGATGATATCATATATTGCACATCTTCCCGAGGCAAGAGAGTTACCTGACTATAAAAGTCCAGTTTCCACCCTTGCCAAACTAGGCTGGTATTACAGAGTTACATTTTGGCTGGACTAACAAGTCTTTGCATAGTCAAATCAAAATCGTGCAATGAAATCGAAATCCGGGTCGTAAACCATCGTGCAGATTTCGGTCGATTGCAGGATTTACAAAGCATGTGCAACGCCAACTCGTCAACAGATATTTTTCAAATCTTTTCATGTTTTTAATCAAGGTGCTCGCGTGATTTGATGCACTTCGCGATGTAAGGCCCGTTTTATTACAATATAGATCTTGATTATCGATCAGATCGTCTTGAATTGGCGCCGCCATTTTGTTTGAAAGTTACGAGAGGTGGGATCTGATTGGTCCATGGGAGAGGCATAGAAGGGACATAATTCGTAATAGTCACTGGTGGCGCTACGATCGAGCCCAGGAATTCCAGCCTAGTTCAGCAAGGGTGGAAACTGGACTTTTACCCTTTACGACCAGCATAGGTTGCTGGGGACCAGTTCTATACCCGTAATTTCTATAGCATGTGAACTAAAATGCTGATCACAAATGAGTAGCAAAGACCATAAATGATCATTGAATGTACTGAGATATATATTCAGATACTACATATAGAGGCAGAACAATCGAGTGTTATAACTTTCGATATATCCACATGAGAATTTTGGCAATTCTCAATGCAGAATGGTCGGTTTAAAAGATATGATAAAACTGGTAACATTACTTCATATGAACAATAAGTTGAATAAAGCGAAGTTTTTTAAGCAGGGTTGATATTTTCCTTTCTTTTCTTTCTGAAAATATATTGAATAGCCTGCTAGAATCTCGGAATTACAGCTAGGATGCTTTCATCCTGCATTCATTCGGGACAGCGGGTCCGTAATCCCTCTACCTCATTGGTTATTCTTTAAATTCCAGTGTGACACTACATGGAAGACCGATAGATGTGTTAACGCGTTGTGTTACCTCCATGGTGCCTGGGGAGTTGCTGAAGTAGCTGAACTTGAGACAGCTTGTGGGCTGGTTCAGGACGAGATTCTGGTGCATCTTCACCTCCTTGTCCTCCAGGAGATAGTTGGTGTCCAGTAGAAGCATCACACCTAAAGGAGCAGACAATATAGATAATACTATGGCTCTGCATTGGCCACACTTACTAATAAAACGGGGATCTCAATGGGCTAGCACTATATAACCGGGACGCTATATAAGTGCGAAAATCTTGAACGCCACGTAAACCCCATTTCAGCTCAGCTCAGCTCAGCTCAGCTCACCTACTAATCGAACAAAACCGTCACATCACGTCAGATCACGCTGGCTTCATCTACTCCTTACTCATCTACGGAGTACAAACATTGTCAACCAGGGGTCTGTTTTGATTGATGGACCCGAAATATAAATCGTATAAAGTGTCCATGGATGAACTCCAGCATCCATGGTATCATTTAATAGTGATTCATAAACACATACTTATGTATCTAAAATGGACTCTGCTTTGTCAGAGATTACTTATGATTATGGTATGGGTCATATAGCTTCACGAACACTACAGCCTACCTGATGAGTTCTTGTAGGTATTGTCAGTGAGTTCCCTGTCAGTGGTAGAGGCATTCATCATTCTCCATTCGGCGTGGGTGTCATCATCGGTCGCCTGCCGCAGTCCACACTCCAGGCCGCTCTCGAAGTCACATGCCAAAGCAGGCGCCGCACACCGCGACTCATCTTCACCCTTGTCACAGTCCGCCACCATGTTGCACAGCGCGTCCTTCCAAATACACTGCAGGGTCACACCGGAAGTGCACGCCACCATGTCGTCAGGGCAACCTGAAGATCACCAGACACTGAGTCATGCACATGTTTCAAAAACCTGCACGTGCAGCAAGATGTTAACATGACCACGAAACCCATTTATTTCGTCTCATTGCATGTACTTTCTGAAGGCACATGTTATCACATTTGTCATAAGAATTATTCATGTATATACGAGTTCGCCTTGTATTGGTCTCATGCGAGTGAGTGAGTATGTTATTTTACGCAGCAATGTCACGGCGGGGACACAACTTGCTTTCTAAGAAGATATGATAGCAGAATAATCCTATGAATCAGACCCGTGAAGATTCCGGGGTAGAATAGGTCTTCAGCAACCCATGCTTGCCGTAAAATGTGACTCTGCTTGTCGTAAAAGGCGACTAACGGGATCGGGTGGTCAGGCTCGCTGACTTGGTTGATGCATGTCATCGATCCCAATTGCGTGGATCGATGCTCATGATATTAATCACTGGATTGTCTGGTCCAGACTCGATTATTTACAGACCGCCGTCATATAGCTGGAATATTGCTGAGTGCAGCGTTAAACAACAAACCAACCAACTATGAATCAAATGTAATGTGCTTACATGTGATAATGACTTGTTTGCTATGTTACCTGTAGTCTAACCTGTATTGTTTCATGCTATTTACTCACAACAGAACCTACCGTTGTCGGCACAGGCTCCGGGCACCATCATAAAATCATCGACAGCAATCCTCCCCTGCTCATCAGAGAAGAAGACTATCTCATAAGATTCGGGGGTGATCGTGAACTCCCCCCGCACCCAATTGTCCTCGCCCATGTAATGGTTCCTACGGAAGACGGGCAACCAGTCATTCTTGCCCACTTCCGGGAGTCTGTGAGTCCACACCTGAAGCCCACCGGTTACTCGTCCCCGCATGTGGTAGTAGAAGCTGGCACAGTGGGTGGTGTTAATGGTGAAACGGGGGGACGCTAGGGGCTTGCCGCGAGACTTCGCGATCATGAACATACCTGAAAGAACAAGACATCACCGCTGCTGAATCATGAACATATCTTGGATAAACAAGATGGTCACAGTTACCAAATCATAAACAAAATTCATAGAAACAAGCCGCCAGCCCTATAAATTCATAAACATATCCGATACCAACAAGAGTGCCGGCATTCTTGAATCATACATAAACCCTACAGAAATAAGAAAATGAGAAAATAATGATAGATGCACTGCATCACAACAATACTTGGGACAACAAGAAAGGTTTCACCACTACTCAATCATGATAATTTTCTGAACAAACATTAAAGTAGGTTAATTTATTTTTACATGTTCCGTACAAAGCTATCTATTGCCTTAAAGAAGCCACATACGTCCATGGTAGAGTACCACAGTAGCAGTCAACACTTACCCGGGTAGGCACCGTGTGTGTGGTCGTACAGTGGGTAACGGTTGTCGTAGTCGCTCTTAGTGCGAAGGTGCCAGCTGCCGTTGTAACCGCACAGAAACTTGTCATCAAATGTACAGTTGACAGAGATGTCTGTAAGGAGACAGAGCAGTTTATATGGACCTCACTCCGATATTTGCGCACTTGCAGAATTAACAAAATAATAAAAGAAATAATAATCTAGTCATTAAGTGGTACTTAAAATACGACTTGTAGAATGGAGATGATTAAAAATCAGCTGAACAAAACTGATTTTCAAAACAGTTGCCCTGTGTATGTATGGGAACTAAACTACCTGTCATCCAATATGGCTGCCGTGACCGCCATGTTGAACCTCAGAACCCAGTTCGGTTACAATACTGTGATCCATCATGTAAAGTTTCAGCTGTCAAGGTCACTGTATTCAGAGACGGTGTCAAGGTATGTGTCAGTGTGTATTAGCATAAAATCAATATGATCAGAATCGAGCTAGACAAACAGAACAATAAAACAGAACATACTGCAGAGTTCGATCTCATCCGAGTTGTCGCCACAGTCGTTTTTCCGATCACACAGCTTCTCCCGGTCAAATATACACTTGCCATTCCTGCAGCGGAACTTGCACTCTAAAACATCACCAAAACAATACATTTTTCAGTCTAATACATTATATAGAGACAATTATGAAAGTATGAAAGAATCCACGTATCCACAACGCTTAAAAGATAATTTCCAAGAGATATGGGTACGTGATTTGCAACAAAGTCGTTCTATTCCCAGTTTAAGACAACTTTTAACTGTGAACAGTATTTTACTTGTATACATGTTTGTAAACTTCACACATGCTTATCTCGATTTAGATGCAGTTCGCACTGACTTGAAATTGAAATTGGCAGAAGAAATAAAACTGCCCGAAATGACAGATCCTGTAAAATTTTCTCTTCTAAACTTGTGGAAGATGGGTTTCATGATCTGCTTGCGTGTCTTGCATACGATCATTTACTACATATTTATATTCCATCTTCATATCATATACATCCGAATATCCATAAATTTAATGCTCTCGATCTTCTACAAATGTTTGTTTTATTGTCATTCTCTCTAAATTCTTATACTCTAGTTAACAAAAACGAGCCTAAAAATTGTTACTGTGACCGTGACCCCATTATTATGTACAAAGGGGATATGGCCTCAATGTGCTGTAATAAAAGCAACCAGACTGATCTCAATGACCCCTCACGAAACCATTAAAACATGTTGTCAGTATCTCTTCATGTCAACAAAGTTGTTAAAAACTAAATATTGGTTTCTTTAAGTCCTGTTATGAGATAACACACATGTATATTTCAATGTGTATTTTTTTCTCAGGATATTAAAGAATTGACTTGAATATTTTTTGCGTTTATGGAAGTATAAACGCAAACAACGGGGTACAAATCCGCGAAGAGACTTGTATGGTTTTTTACAAGACGGCGACTAGTCAATCATATAGCAATAATGCCAAATACACGATGAACGCGGGTTTGATAAGATGCAATAATACCCTAGATATGAGAAAAAGTGGTCTACCTATTTTGTCTTCAATCCACTCCTTGAAGACGTTGACGTCGCTGAAGACGGAGGGGCGAGCGGGCACGTTGCAGCCTTTGGCCACGTAGCTGGCCACGCCCACCAACTTCCAGTTGTTGTCATTCGTCTGGCACATCAAAGGGCCGCCACTGTCACCCTGTAAACAAATCAGTGTCTTACAAGTGGACAGGACGAGCAGATTTGTATGTTTAGTACAGTACTATTATCCTCAGTCATCCAAGGAAAATCGTATCTCTGTCGCCAAACCTTTTTTTGTTTGTTTATTTTAATTGCAAATATAAAACGTCTTTTATCATATTTTTTAATAAATGAGTTTGTTGTTCAGGAAAATAGATGACATATGACATGTGTACAAGGTAAGGCGTGTTTTTTATAACACTAGTACTGTTATCCGCCGACTCCAAAGTTAACAAATACCAGGTCTTTTGTTCCCGCCCCCAGTCTAGGAACTGATTTCAGTACTGAACGTATATCAACGAAAATAATTTTCCGAACGAAAATAATGTCAAGATTAAGATTGTTTATTTATTGACTGCAAACGCATATGGTTTAGGAAAAAGTTCAATATACTAAAAAATGGAAAACATTTTCTGTTCATCCCATTAAGTGCAGCACGTATTGAGCAATGACTGACCACACAGATAGAGATGAGCCCGGAGTAGTAGCCAGCACACAGGTGAGTCTCGCTGATGGCGCCATTCCAGGCGTAGGACCCGTTACACTTGGCCGTGTTCCACAGTCGCATCTTGGCGTCCTTCAGCCACTGGGACGCTGGACCTGCAACGTGATGTAAGGATGTACTTATACTGTAACTATGTCTAACTATCAGGCTGGGACACCTAGATATCGTGAAAAAAAACAAAGAGAGAGAGAGAGAGAGATGTGTGACGTGCGCATTGTACACAGGAGCATGTGCATGAGGCACTGTTTTACTGTTTATTCCCTACTTTATGATATCAATAATCAATTTATTGATATCAAATAATCGATTTTGAGATATCAATAAATGTATTCATTGATATCACAAACTAAATTTTGAGAGTAAAAAAATCCGATGCATGTTTAGATATCACTTAAACGAATTTATGATATAATAAAATACTTCAGACTTTTATATAACAAAACTTCGATTAGTGACATCATAAAATACATTTTTAGATATCATAAAATACATTTTTAGATGTAAGAAATTCAATTTATGGTATCTTAAATTCGAATTTGTGATATCAATAATTATTTCATGACATCAATAATTATTTTGATATCATTAATTCGAATTTGTGATGTCAATAATTCATTTTCTGATATCAATTAATGAAGTATTGATATAATAAAATCAGGAATAAATAATAAAACGGCGCCTGGTACTCACCGTCTGCCCTGGTCATTCCCCAGCCTGCTGCATAACACTGGGTGGTCTTTGTGAACACATCATCCTTGTCGGGAAGACAGATGGGGCGGATGTAGTCGGTGTAGTTGACGGTGCCGTCGATCTCGACAAGGGCGATGTCGTTCTTTTGGTGGTAGATGTGGTTGTGAATGGTCAGGCTCTTAACGTTGTAACGTTGTTGCTGCGGTTCCTTTGCACTGACGTTGGACGCTCCAAGGACCACCTCGATGTTTTTGTGGTCACTTGTGTACGCTCTGGAATACATATACATCATTGGTAAGTAAGATTGGATATTTCGGGTTACAACTGGTCTCCCCAGTAACCTGGCACGCTTCCACAACGTGATCTTGGCGCTACGATATGTTAAAGTATTGGGAGCTACGATCGTTTTAGCGCAAAGATCGCTCTGTGGAATGAGGCAGTGGTCGTTTTAAAGGTCAATGTTCCGAAAAAAGAAAGGGAGCAAAATTAAACAATTTTTCTTTAACGTTAATTCCATAATAAACTTTCTCAAATGAAAGTCACAAAAAACACAAACAAAGAGACGTCTAAAATATATATCCCGCGGTACTTACTCAACACAGTGTGCGGCCGTAACGATGAAGTTGCGGCTGACGAGGGCGCCCCCGCAAAAGTGTTTCCCCTTCTTCTGTATCGAAGCCTGCCAAGGCCACTCTCCGTCGATGGCGTTATTGCCGTTGACGATGTAGGAGACGCGGTGGGGTTTTGGGTGTCCACACTCTGTGCAAACAGTCACACACGTGTAATACTCTATTTCAGTAATCGATTTTTTCAAGAATAACAATTTTTATCACATTATAATTATGATAAGATGTATAGCCCCGTATTCGTACAGAGAGTTATGTTGTGAGTGTTTACCTTTAGGGTGACATTTCAAAACTACTGCCGAGTAACCAGGACAGCTGCTTCTGTGAAAAGAAACAAACATACATGGATGAGGCGAGGTCAGGTGAAATGGGGTCAAACATCGCGTCCAAGTTAATTGCACTTATATAGCGATGTGCATGTACACGTATGTGTGTGTGCGTGCGTGCGTCTGCTTGTACTAGTCCAGATTGATGCCGATTTTATAGTGCTAGCCCCCTGAGACTCCATCTCGTGGGAATCGTACCCGGACCATCCGCTCTACCACAAGACCACAGAGGCGGTCATAGATGGATGACAAATTTGATATATAATTGATAAGGTACCTATGTACGATATCATTATGCTCCGTATCTATTCTGCAAGAGTGAGTGAGTGAGTGAGTGAGTGAGTGAGTGAGGGTTTACATTCCATTTACGACGGGACACTAATAACGGGCTTAACAAATATCAGAATATTAGCGAGGGGCATCGAACCTCAATTTTGTCGTGACAAACCAACTCTATAATCACTTGGTTACCAAGCTCCACCTCCTATTCCCAACCCGTCTTCGAATCAGACTAGATTCAAACTGCATTCAGCATATGGACTCAATAGGAAGATGTTCAGATAAGAACAAAATGACTAACAAAGTATGACAAAAACTCGCTATTCAGTGTTGTACCTTATTGTAGCGCGCCCGATGACGGTCGTCTCTGGCCCCACGCCGTCAATGACTGCATAGGCAAAAACCGTATGTCGAACCGTCCGCCATTCTTCATGACCTCTGCAACAAATAGATATAGCTGTTATGGTTTACACTGCAGGCTGTGCCATGTCTAACAATCTTATTTAAAGGCAACTATGCCTGTCGTAAGAGGCGACTAACGGGATCGGGTGGTTGATGCATGTCATCGATCCCAATGGCTTTGAAATGATGCTCATGATGTCGATCACTGGATGGTATGGTCCAGACTCGATTATTTACCCGTCATATAGCTGGTATATTGCTGAGTGCGGCGTTAAACAACACACAAACAAACAATAATTGGTATTTATTACAGCAAGTGAGTAAGGTTTTACGCTTCAGTTAATAATCGTCATATACCCCTTAACAATTAGGCCACCCTCTTGCTCCACTAAGTAAGCTGAGTAGGAAACAACTGGATATTCGTCACTTTGAATATTCTTTCATGCGTGTCAGATTGAGGAGGAAAACCTTTCTTAGACGTTTATCGCTTTGGTGAAACCCACGAATCGGGCATGGTGCTGGCAAGCCAAGAAACATAATAAGGGTTAAGCAGGACTCGAACCCTGATCATAGGTCTCAGGGCCCCGTTCCACAAAGTGATCTTAACGCTAAGTCGATCATAACTCCCATTCTTTAACACTGACTTACGACAATCGCAGCACTAAGATCGCTTTGTGAAACAGGGCCCTGGAACGCAAACTTTGCACAGCAAGGATTTGCGGCGTCTTGGACGACTGGTTTACCCTCCCTCAAAGCTTTGACCGAACATTACACTGTAACAATTTACTCACTTGTGTCCAAGCTTCTTACACGCCAGGTCCGCCATGGTGGAGTTAAACGTGGAGGCACACACAGGGATCAGTCCTTCCTGCTCGAACCGCAGGCTGAACGGCCGCTTCTCCTCAGGAGCAAAGACTGAAACACGAAATACATCAATACATCAATACATCAATACAGGAGGATGTAGATTGAGACAATGCGTGTGTATTGACTCTGGATCTGCCCATAAGTCCATGACAAATGTATAATGTATAAATCCCAGTCAGATCTTAGTGAAAGGAGTAAGATTTGACAACACTTTGAGTGCGTGAGTGAGTATGGTTTTACACCGCTTTTACCAAGATCAAGGCGGAAATGGGCTTCACACATTTTACCCATGTCGGAATCGAACCCGGGTCTTCGGCGTGACGAGTGAACGCTTTAACCACTAGGCTACCCGACTGCCCGACACCACTTTGAACATTAAACAGTTATAGACACGGGTCCTTATGAAGCCGGTCTTAGGCTGTACCATTTTGCTAGAACCGACGCTCGTAGCATTGTTCATTTATATTTAAGATCCCATGGGAAATGCCGGAGAGGCAGGGAGTTTCATTGTACATCTCGCGAGATACATCTAGTTTGCTCCAACACTTTCTCCCCTCACAAACAGACCCAAGTGCCGCTGGTTTAACCCGAGCATGATAACCATGTGAACAATTGTCTCACTTACTACACTGGCGCTCGTCTGAGAGGTCTGCGCACTGGGGAGTGCCGTCACAGTGCTGGTCTATAGGCAGACACTCGCCACTCCGGCAAGCAAACTCCGACCTTTTGCACGCACCTGCAAACAGAGTATGGTATGGTAGATTAGTGCATATCACTTTATGTACATTAAATCAACTCAAACTGCCAACAACCAATCCGCATGTTCTACTGCCAGCATAGCCGCCTTAAATATCTTTTTTCACGAGATGTCAGGAAGATTGGAAACTTGAAAGTTATAGTACATGTTTATATGACTGTCAGCTTGCCCTCCGTTTTCAAGTTCTTAACTTTTGACATGATGAAGTTGGTAAATGTGGCTCAAATATGCGAAAAAGAGACTTATATTAAACGTCAAGAGAAATCCCTAGCTTGCGACTACAGCTCATCGGAAGTTTTTACTGGTTTCTCGTTTCAAAATTTTAGTGGTTCCGTGGACCCAAAAGAGCCTTTATTACACGTTGTTCATGACACGTTAATGTTAAATCCATGGAAGTCGGGACTGTTCTGGCTCTGTTGGCGTGTTCCTAATTCAATCAAGTTCCTCTACGAGCAAGATAAATGTAGGATGAAATTGCTGAAGTTCACATACCACAGTCTGCTTCATCCTTCCCGTTGCTGCAGTCGTTCTCTCCATCGCAGACCCACTCCGACATTATGCAGGTCCCATCAGCGCAGGAGTACTGCCCGTAACTACAGTCTGCCAAGGACAACTCTAGACTTTAGTTCGACTTGACGGCACGTGTCACTCATTTCAAGCTTATCATTTCTCAGGAATCTATCCGAATATATTAGAATAACCAAAGACTAAAAGATTCGATCTATATTAAAAGTTGTAGCAGGATCACTCGGGGTACATGGGGTTTTATGTGTCCCGCGTTAGGTTTTATACGAGCCGGCGCACTGGGGGCGAGCGGTATAAAGCCTAACGAAGGACGCTTAAAACCCCATGTACCCAGAGTGATCCTGCTACAATGAATTTATCTTACCGACATATTTTTAATCTGACATTGTAAAAGAATTAAAACAAATTCAAAATTGATAGAAAACAGCTGTTCGATTGAGCTGAGGGTAACTCATGTGCATTTCACTGACTCGGAAACATCGTGTGGGTTTTTGCTTTGAAGCGGGGCATAAGGGATTTATTCTGCCTCTCAGAAACCCACGTGCAGCCTGACTTGCTCGTGGCGGGGTATAAGGGATTTATTCTCACGCTGAGAAATTCATTTCCCTCCAAGGCGGGATATACATCATTTTATCAAGTTCACGTGGACCAATCAGATCTCATCATTCTGACATGGAGGTATGATAAAAGTTATGAAGCACGTCAACACAGATATATTTACACCACTATCCGAACGTACTAATCTACTGAACATGTCTTCGATTTGGACTGACGATGTACCCTGTTATGGCAGCACATGTATCTGAGAAGGACATGTCACATGCATTAGCTGAGTGAGTATAGTTTTACGCCGCGTTGTGCAATATTCTAGACATATCAAGACAGGGCACACCAGGAATAGGCTTCAGGCAGTGTATCGATGTGGGGATCGAAGCGTGACGACCCAGGCCCTGTTCCACAAAGTGATCTTAGCGCTAAGATCATCGTAACTACCATACTTTAACATAGACTTACTACGACCGTAGCGCTTAGTAAACATTGTGGAACGGGCCCAACGCTTTAACAAAATTAGACTACTACACCGTCCGTACATCCTTTGAAAATGAATGATTAAATGTTTTATGACGGAATGTACACGGGATTTGAATCATTAAATGTTTTGAATGTTTTGGATGAGTGGAATACGCTTTTAACAAGACAGATGCCCTGTGTTCACGTGTGCTGCCGCGACCTGGAGATGCCCAGTGCCCTGTTACATCTCTAGTGGTGGTTTGTTCACTCACTGCAGTTGATCTCGTCACTACGGTCGGGGCAGTCCACCACGCCGTTACACCTCTGGTAGGACTTGATGCAGAACCCCATCTCGCACCTGTGCTGGAACTCATTACACGCTGCAAGGCAAGGATAAAACATACATTAACTCCTTTAACTCTAACCCACCTGTAACTCGACCTCCCTTTAACTCGCCCTCGTTAACTCGACCTCCCTTTAACTCAAACCCCCTTAACAATTGTTCAATTTAAGCCAACTCAGCACGGCGGTATATGATCCTCATAGTTTTACACTCGAACTGGGGATAAGTGTATCTTACCCAGAAATTACTTTTGTATCTGAAAATGATGCTAAACAAAAATTCAAAATCATGTACTTTTTTTAACTGGGCCGTAATAACCAGATTGATCCGGATTCATACGTTGGTGTTCATTCGCCTTCAAGATATTTCTTTTCATACTTTTTCAGATAGGGCTGGTTACATTTTACCGACATTGTCATATCGAGATAACGGTAACTGAACGTAGTTAGAGATGTAATCTCAGCGAACTACCGTTAGTTCTAGGAACACGAACTACGATTTGCCATAATTTACAGGATTTGTTGAGAACATGAATTAACTTCGGGATAAACCCACAGAGTCAGTTATAGTGAAAATAAGTTTTATTGTGTAGGAATCAACATGGAGAAGGAAGCATCGCAGACCGAGACGCTAGACCTACCCGGACAGTTCCTCTCATCCGACCAATCACCGCAGTCGTTATATCTGTTGCAGACGGAGCTCTTCGGTACACACTTATTGGTGCCAAAACATGAAAATTCGTTCGCCGCACACGCTGTGAAGTAGAGAAAAAAATATTCAGGGAGTATATATACATGACCACAAAGCGATGCATGGACATGGGTAGTGAAACAGTAGACAATATACGGTTATTAACATATACCTATCAATAATATGATGCATTTTGCATGTGGATAAAGCCAACATGAAGACGGTCATATTACGGGAGGTTAAAAACCAGACCCTAGACTACCATCTAGTCTCTGAAATGAACATATCTTACAGAAAAAAACAGTTGTTAAACTATCTTAATAAAATATGATAAAGGAGCCCAGAGACTCTCTTCATTTTCAGATGATAGTGCAGTAATCTAGACTTGCCAAACATTATAGACTTGCATGGGCTGTATTTGATATATTTGTATGGGGATCTGTACGGCACCCCCTTCAAGGATGATATGGTCAGTAAATGCATTTTGAATGGACGATCGATATCAGCCCGGTTCGTAAGAAATTAGAGTTACGTCCCTTAGTGCGTGGTCTGCTCGTCTGCTCAGCTTGCTCAGCTTGCTTTCCCGTGACAATGTCTTCCAGACAAGGTGAACATGTTTTGCATTCACTTGCATAGAGATACATTTTGCGCTTCGAACATTACCCTCTGTGGTGTGACGTCTGGCGCTTTGAGGCCTTTATGGTATTATAGATTATGATGCTGCTGTTGCTACTTATGATTATGACTATGAGAGCCTGCATGTTGTTTTACTATGTACTCAGCATTATCAGTGACGTAAGGTCGGTCTCAGTTTAAGACACAAGGTATGCTTCACTTTCTCATCAACATTCAGCCAATATCATGGTGTCATCAGCCCCACACATTCAATACCACGAGTATTTCTTATGGTCACATAGACGATGCATTACTTACGTGTTTTGGGCTGAGGTCGAAGACAGGTGGCTTCATCAGGATCAGACAGGATGGCACAGTCTTGCCTGAACAGGTCCTTTGTCCACAGACAGTTGTTGTTGACGTCTGTAATAAAGACTTAGATATACACACATGAAATTCAAACGGTATGACATTGCAGCGAGTGGGTTTGGTTTAACACCTCAACATATTATGCCGGTTTTATCACTTTATCATTTAGCATCAGGGGCGGTCGGGTAGCCTAGTGGTTAAAGCGTTCGCTCGTCACGCCGAAGACCCGGGTTCGATTCCCGACATGGGTACAATGTGTGAAGCCCATTTCTGGTGTCCCCCGCCGTGATATTGCTGGAATATTGCTAAAAGCGGCGTAAAACCAAACTCACTCACTCACTCACTCACTCATTTAGCATCACTTTATCATTTAGCATCACTTTACCATTTAGCATCACTTTATCATTTAGCGTGTCAATGAGGTAGGGAAGCTCCAGGAGACGACGACTGTATATCGCGTTGGTGCAACCAGCAAGATCTTGCATCAATGTGCAAACGAAACAAGGATCGTAATCAGGGCAAATCCGGTGTTCGAATCATCAGATCCTTGCACGCCAAAGGGGCGCAATTGAGGGAATTAGATCATTGGGAAACACGTGTACGGGTTGCAAGGATGATGGCGTCATTTGTCAACGTCAGAGTTTGAATCTATATTTGTTACACCCGCAGACCCGCTGCCTTACCTTCACATACGTCCCTACATGGCCACTGTGGCTTGCCGTTGACGCACGGTGGGAACAACACCGAGCAGAAGTAAAACATGGCGTTCTCTGAACATCCGAGGGCCACGCCGCGTTCCCCGAAGGTCTCGTACGCCTTGAAGGCTTCCGTCAGAGTGGTGTAGGCCCAGCCGTCGGGGAGGTAGGTCACGTTGTAGCCGAACACCTTGCACAGGTCCACTGTCATCCGACGACACCCAGCTGTGGATAGGGGCAACTCATTACAGACATACTCTGTATTTCTTTTAACAAAACCCTAGCTTTCTGAAGGATTTAACTTGGACTTTCATTGCCCTTATCAACCGCCAACATAAAAGCATCGCTTACTGAGAGTTTTGAGTCGTACAGTCCCGGCCTTATCAACCCCCTGCAAAAAAAATCGTTTCCTGCAGATCTGAGATAGAATCCATTGTCCTTATCAACACAGTACTGTGAAATGAGGAACTATACACTTTTTTACAACATAGCTTTGGGATGGCCATGTACCATGTCGAGCAAAGAACCTTTTTGAGTTGGGTAAAACTCGATGACTCACTATTTTGGTTAAAAATACTCCAGCCGGCTACCCCCAAAATATCAGATTGTCTCTCCCTTGACACTGTCCCGCCATACACCCGTGGTATGCATTAAGCGTACGTCGATCAACCCCTGTCCCCATTAAATTCCCTTCCGCTCCCATAAGTTGTGGGGGTAAGGATGAAAATAACCAACCAAATAAATGTGCATGATTAAATTGACATGACAGTAAATGACTGGCCAGCTCCATTGTTGTTAAAACATACATGTATGTCGGGTACCTACCCTGGGCTTGTGTGGTGGAGGGGGCTATTGCTGTGGTCGTCGTGGGCGGGGCCTTGGGCAGGAGACACTTCTCTGTGTCATCGGGAAACACCCGGCAGTCCATGGGGAAACTCCATACTGAACCACAGCTAGCTGTCATTTCTGAAAAAAGTGATTAATGGGTTCATAATCATTGTGGAAAAACATAATCATTCTCAAAACATTTAATGACAATGAGAGGTGACACCATGGTTTGTGTGCGTATATTGCAAAGGGGAGGGGGTTCGAACTTAAGGACCAGAACCCAGTGTACCAAAACCACCCCGACCAACCCCCACCCCATTCCTTGATCCGCCACTGTATAGGGTTCGTCGAGCATAAGACACAGGTGAGACGGTGACGTATTAGATACAGGTAAGATGGTGATCCATAAGACACAGGTGAGACGGTGACGTTTTAGATACAGGTAAGATGGTGATCCATAAGACACAGGTGAGACGGTGACGTATTAGATACAGGTAAGATGGTGATCCATAAGACACAGGTGAGACGGTGACGCATAAGACACAGGTGAGACGGTGACGCATAAGGTACAGGTAAGATCGTGATCCATAAGACACAGGTGATATGGTGACGTATAAGACACAGGTGAGACGGTGACGTATTAGGTACAGGTGAGATGTTTATCGATAAGACACAGGTGATATGGTGACGTATTAGGTACAGGTGAGATGTTTATCCATAAGACACAGGTTTAGACGGTGACGTATTAGATACAGGTAAGATGGTGATCCATAAGACACAGGTGAGACGGTGACGTATTAGATACAGGTGAGATGGTGATCCATAAGACACAGGTGAGACGGTGATGCATAAGATACAGGTGAGATGGTGATCCATAAGACACAGGTGAGACGGTGACGCATAAGATACAGGTGAGATGGTGATCCATAAGACACAGGTGAGACGGTGACGCATAAGATACAGGTAAGATGGTGATCCATAAGACACAGGTGAGACGGTGACGTATTAGATACAGGTAAGATGGTGATCCATAAGACACAGGTGAGACGGTGACGTATTAGATACAGGTAAGATGGTGATCCATAAGACACAGGTGAGATGGTGACATATTAGATACAGGTAAGATGGTGATCCATAAGACACAGGTGAGACGGTGACGTATAAGATACAGGTGAGATGGTGATCCACACAGCGTACCCCCACCCCCATACAGCGTACCCCCAGCCCACTACCCCATACAGCGTACCCCCAACCAACACCCCCATACAGCGTACCCACACCCCACACAGCTTACCCCAAACCCCACACAGCGTACCCCCACCCACACCCCCATACAGCTTACCCTCACACACGCTCCTGCAGGGTAAGGTGACGTTCCCGTCTTCCTCACACTGGGGGAACATTATCCCGCAGTAGAAGAACTTGGACAGGTAGGAACAGCCGGACTGGATCGTGGACTTGCCGTACTGGTTGAAAGCGATCTCTGACCCCGCGGCCGACTCTGCGAACCAGTTAGGGAGGCGGGTGTTGGTGAACCCTTCCTCTCTGCAGTAGCCGAACGTCTGGTTCACACACTGTGCTGTAACACATAACGGTTAATATGTTAGAATCCAACATGGAAAACGTTAGGATCAAACACTCTTCAGTGGCATATCCCCCCCCCCCCCCCCCCCCCTCCCCGCCCACACACACACACCCCATTCTTAATAAGCTTGATCAGTTAATAATCTGGACCAGACAATCCAGTGATTGGCATCATGAGCATCGATCCCCGCAATTTGTATAGTTACGATGACATGCATCAACCAAGTAGGCGAATCTGACCACCCGATCCCGTTAGTCGCCTCTTACGACAAGCATGGGGTGCTTATGAAATATTCTACCCCGGATCATCGCGGGTTTCACGGTAGTCCACAGGAGAATCCTACAAGAAACCTGAAGGGGTTAGAAGTATGAGACAGATTACTCACGTGGCCCCCGGGTGGGAGGGGTGTAGGGCGCTGCGATACACTTGCTCGGGTCGGAGGGGAGGTAGTTACAATCAAATGGAAAGGGCATGTAACTCGCACAGCTCCCGACCACAGCTGGAAGAATGAATGAAACAGAGGTGTTAGTTTAAACATATTTTATTCACAAATGGAAAAGCATTAGGAACAAGTTATCCAACTTAGGACACCCTCTCCGTGGTATTTACATATACTAATTACATATACACTAGAGATGACAAGTACAATAAGGAATGATGGGAATAGAAAGAAACGCATATACGAGTAGAAGAAAAAAAAGTTGAATTAGACAAAGCGTTTGGTCTGATTGATGTAAGATTCCACTGCCTTAAATACATATGTATTATGACTTGTTGATACGTTTACACTTCCCTCTGACAAAAGTTTCACGTTGATTGGTTCACTTGTTTCTTCTAAGTATGCGCCTTAATGTTGATATTAATTGTTCTCTTCGACTAGTATATAATGGACATTCAAACAAATAATGGAAAGAGTTTTCTATATGATATATAGAAAAGTGCTGCAGGTGCAATTCGGGTCAGTTTTTGCGTCAATTTTATATAAATGAATTGAGTGGACTCGTGGAATAGCGTAACTTGGTGTGAATGATATTAAGTTTTCTTTTGCCATACCAAAAAATACGATGGCGCAAGGTATTCAGAGACAATACTGATAACGGTGACTTTAATGGAAGAGTATATCCGTGTATCAGTTGGGTTAAACGCCGACTTTAAAGTGTTTGACTTAAGGCCGCTATGAACAGTTACATTATGTGGTGTTAGCTACATGGAGTGAAAACCATCAGTGGTGCATTTGACGTTGTAAGAGGTGTGGTGAGGTGAAATGGGGTTTAAGATTATTGCACTGATATAGCGACGTATAGTGTAATGTGCTAGTCTTGACTACTGCTGGTTTTATAGTGCTAGCTCACTGAGATACCATGTCGTAGTTTAACATGAATACCCCACTCAGACACAGTATACTGACACCGAGCCGACCAGTCCTTGTTTTAGCCTCTTAATGCCGAGCGCCAGACAGGGTAACAACTAGTAGTGTGGTTAAAGCGTTCGCTCGTCACGCCGCAGGCATCTTCCGAGGCAAGGGAGTTAACTGACACGCACGCACCCGTGCCGAACTAGGCTGGAATTTCTGAGTTATATTTTGGCTGGACTAACGTGTCTATGCGTAGACACCTTACTCAGACACAGTATACTGACCCCCAGCCGGCCAGTCCTTGTTTTATGATATATATCTTTTAACGTCTTTTGGTATGACTCGGCTGGGGATCGATCCTCCGATCTTTCGTTCTCCGGGCACATGCTCTATCAACCAGACTACGGAGACTTTAGTGTGGAAAGTGTATAGAACTCACACACTACGGGTCTTAATTTTGGGGATCTGGGATTCGAACCCACGAGCGTTCCCTGGCACGGCTAAGGTAGGCAACTCTGCAAACTGCATTGTGGCGCCTTAGACTGTCTGTCATCCTGTTGGCTTGGGTTCGAATCCTGAATACACCTGGGCCCACTTGTACAAAGCGATCTTAGCGCTAAGATGATCGTAACTCCCATACTTTAACATAGGCTTACAATAGTCGTAGCGCTAAGATCGCTTTGTGCAAGTGGGCCCAGATGCTGAAAATATATTTTTAACACCAAACCGTAGTCGTCGCTTGACAAATGTGATACATTCCTGCAACGAATAACCACCCTTGTCTACCACAAAAAATATTTTGAAAAAGGAGCACAATTGGAGCATATACGGTAGTATTATGATGTAAAATGATATGGTAACTACCGTCACAGAAATCCTTGCAGGGTTGCATCCCCTTGAAGCCAGGCGTTTCCTCGCACCTGGGGAACAGCAAGGCACAGAAGAAGTCAAGTCCGATGGAGGAACAGTTATTCTGAAGACTTTTTCCCGCAAAACCGTCAAAGTTGTTTATTGCGGTCGCCATGATTGTATCTCCAAACAGATTTGGGAATTTGGTCGTGTTATACCCGACATCTGCACATTTGGTGAATGGTGCCATGCTTGTACAGACCGCTGAAATATCGATAACCCAAATGTACACAGGTCATGACAAGTTTAGGTTGTGTTTTATATTCATCACATGGTCATCTGAAATAAGCCACTTGAACGTTTGTTTCAAGGCGATCAATTACTTTTGATTTTGTACGGTAAAAAATCCAGTTTTGAAGTCAGACATGACATATTATAACGGGTTTCTCTTTTGCATAACGTGGTAACTGAGCAGTGTTCCTGCCCGCTTCCAAACACAAATAAACTATTTTGAAAATAAACTTCCGACGGGCCACGCTACGTTTCAATGCCCTAACATTAATAACAAAACACAATATGGGAACGGGCAGTGGCGTAGCCCTGTGTTTAAAGCGTTCGCTTGTCACGACGATGGCCCGGGGTTCGATTCCCTTTATGGGTACAATGTGTGAAGCCCATTTCCGGTGTCCCCCGCCGTGACATTGGTAGAATATTGAACAGTACTCACTTTTCAATATACAAAAATATAGCATTTCAACCTGATGTTCAAACAGTTGAGCTAGTTTCGAGTGTCGAATTCGAGACAACAGGCTTCGAGACAACAGGAATGAAGAATGTAGTTTGCCTCACGCTATTCCGCTCGAGACCTAATCTACACAGTATCATTATCAAAACATTTGTACATCGAGTGGTTACCAGGAGGAGTTGTCGTTGTTGTTGTGGTTGTCGACGTCGTTGTTGTTGATGTTGTTGTTGTAAGCAGTTCAGGTGGGGGATGTAGGCAGTCGGTGTCACTGAACATATTCCCTTCACAGTCGAACATGGACTTTGCGGTGGAACAGTCTCGCCGTATCGCTAACAGAAAGAAATGACATGGAAATAATTTACAATTAATGAGACAGCAATTTTTTCACTCCCTACTAGTGAGTGAGTATGGTTTTACGCCGCTTTTAGCAATATTCCAGCATCATCACGACGGGGGACACCAGAAATGGGCTTCACACATTGTACCCATGTCGGGAATCGAACCCGGGTCTTCAGCGTGACGAGCGAACGCTTTAACCACTAGGCTACCCGACCGCCCCTCTCTCCCGACTAATTAACCATAACTACTGGTTGAAGGTTTAAAATACACCAACATGGATTCTCTCTTTCAAACCTTTTTCTTTCAAAGTCAGCTTTAATCTATAGACAAAAATGATCCTTGGTTGATGTGTGCATACTACTCGAAAGAAGTTAAGGACCAACCAATTATTTATATTGCATGTGTGTCATGTCAGAGTAACTATGACAGATGCGGGTGGTCCTTAACTTATTTTGTGTAGTGTATAACATTTAAGACAATGCAACTTCATGACCCCCAAGAGATTCCATAACGGGGCTAATGGTTTAATATCGGTGGTCTCGATCTACCGGTGCTTCGATACAGCTTCTATTGTAAGCAAGGACATCCAGGCTTAAATGTACATCAACCGTAACATACATTTTACGAGTGTTGACAACACCTATGCTTGAGGGGCGGTGGGGTAGACTGGTGTTAAAGCGTTCGCTCGTCACGCCGAAGACCCGGGTTCGATTCCCAACATCGGTACAATGTCTTAAGTCGACTTCTGGTGTGTCCCTCGGTGATATTGTTGGCGTAAAAACACACTCACTCACTCACATAAGTTCTAACAAAACTCCAGCTGACCTATCCATTATGAGTAATTGGCAAAAGACTACTCTCTTCAATAAATTGATTTATCAATGATTCACAACGTATTTGTATTACCTTGGCAAACGTTTCTACATGGCTGCAGAATTTGCCCCTCATCTCCACACTTGGGAAATATTAAACCACAGACATAAAATTCAGTCAAGGGAGAGCACTCTGCTTGCACTATGCCCTTCGGAAACTGGGCGAAATACTGCTTTGCATCTTCTATTGTCGGCAGTCCGAAAACGTTGGGCATCAACGTCATGTTAAATCCGATCTTGTTACACAGCTCTTCTTCAAACTCAATGCATTTATCTGGAACCAAAATGATGGTTATATTCCAACTGTGTACAGGTGTATACACAATACACCTGTAATCAACACCAGGCTGCTCAGCTCAACATGACTTAATAATATCGATAGTAGCAGAGAATAAAATAATTCTCAAAGTAATGATAAAGAAAAAGAGTCTGTTTCTGTGTAAATAAAAAATAAATAATTTTAGAAAAAATAAATAAATAAAAATAAATAATAATAATAATAATAATAATTAATAATAATCAATATTATCGTTATAATTTTGTTTACAAGTGAGCTTCTTATCAGTCTCGTTGTAAGTGTTAAAAACGTGGTCAGGACAGCATTATATCTCAATGTATGCACGGGTATCCTACTTAACGGTCTCATTGTTCAGGTTTGTGAAATTGTGTTCATGGTCATAATTTAACTTTTGCCAAATGTAAACACGTGAAGGGCAACTCTTTACATTTTTTTCTATCGCTTGTGTTGTGCGAGGCGAGCTGTCTTAGATTGAATTAGGAGCTGTGTCAAGTGGGTTGCTTCTCAATCTCAATAATCCGACAACTTGTCTGCATAAGAAGCTGCTAAATTACGGAGAGCTGGCAATATTATTACAAGCATTATTTATTGAACATGAAAGATAGATGGAACTGTGTCACCGAGAAAGCCTTCCCGTAGTTGTTATGTTCCAGATAACGGTGGCGTTCTTACCTGGCGTTGTAGGAGTTGAGACAGTAGTAGTCGTAGTTACAGTTGTAGTGGAAGTAGTCGTTGTCGGTGTTGTTGGTGTTGGTGGTGCAGCCATGCAGCTGTTGTAATTGTTATGGAAGTCACAACCAAGCATGGTAACGGAGGACCCACAGGTTGCAGCAAGCTCTACCAACAGGGAGACGAACAGGGTCATATGACAGCTGCACACTGTACATCGCTCCGTAGCGAATATTGTATGGCGAAAAATGTGATGGATTAGGCACAAGTGACATGTATGTATGTATGTATGTATGTATGTATGTATGTGAGTGTGAGTATGGTTTTACGCCGCTTTTAGCAATATTCCAGCAATATCACGGCGGGGGACACCAGAAATGGGCTTCACACATTGTACCCATGTCGGGAATCGAACCCGGGTCTTCGGCGTGACGAGCGAACGCTTTAACCACTAGGCTACCCGACCGCCCCTATGTATGTATGTATGTTTGAATGTATGTATGTATGTATGTATGTATGTATGTGAGTGTGAGTATGGTTTTACGCCGCTTTTAGCAATATTCCAGCAATATCACGGCGGGGGACACCAGAAATGGGCTTCACACATTGTACCCATGTCGGGAATCGAACCCGGGTCTTCGGCGTGACGAGCGAACGCTTTAACCACTAGGCTACCCGACCGCCCCTATGTATGTATGTATGTTTGAATGTATGTATGTATGTATGTATGTATGTATGTATGTATGTGAGTGTGAGTATGGTTTTACGCCGCTTTTAGCAATATTCCAGCAATATCACGGCGGGGGACACCAGAAATGGGCTTCACACATTGTACCCATGTCGGGAATCGAACCCGGGTCTTCGGCGTGACGAGCGAACGCTTTAACCACTAGGCTACCCGACCGCCCCTATGTATGTATGTATGTTTGAATGTATGTATGTATGTATGTATGTATGTATGTATGTATGTATGTATGTGAGTGTGAGTATGGTTTTACGCCGCTTTTAGCAATATTCCAGCAATATCACGGCGGGGGACACCAGAAATGGGCTTCACACATTGTACCCATGTCGGGAATCGAACCCGGGTCTTCGGCGTGACGAGCGAACGCTTTAACCACTAGGCTACCCGACCGCCCCTATGTATGTATGTATGTTTGAATGTATGTATGTATGTATGTATGTATGTATGTATGTATGTATGTATGTATGTATGTATGTGAGTGTGAGTATGGTTTTACGCCGCTTTTAGCAATATTCCAGCAATATCACGGCGGGGGACACCAGAAATGGGCTTCACACATTGTACCCATGTCGGGAATCGAACCCGGGTCTTCGACGTGACGAGCGAACGCTTTAACCACTAGGCTACCCGACCTCCCCTATGTATGTATGTTTGAATGTATGTATGTTTGAATGTATGTATGTATGTATGTATGTATGTATGTATGTATGTATGTATGTATGTATGTATGTATGTATGTGAGTGTGAGTATGGTTTTACGCCGCTTTTAGCAATATTCCAGCAATATCACGGCGGGGGACACCAGAAATGGGCTTCACACATTGTACCCATGTCGGGAATCGAACCCGGGTCTTCGACGTGACGAGCGAACGCTTTAACCACTAGGCTACCCGACCTCCCCTATGTATGTATGTTTGAATGTATGTATGTATGTATGTATGTATGTATGTATGTATGTATGTATGTATGTATGTATGTATGTATGTATGTATGTATGTATGTATAAAGGCGCTCGGGTAGCCTAGTGGTTAAAGCGTTCGCTCGTCACGCCGAAGACCCGGGTTCGATTCCCGCCATTGTTACAATGTATGAATCCCATTTCTGGTGTTCCCCGCAGTGATATTGCTGGAATATTGCTAAAAGAAACGTAAAACAAAACTCACTCACTGTAGGAAGAATATTGCACTTTTAACAATAACGATGTGGAGGATATGACTACCGTGCAGAATATACACATGTGATACAGATTGTTCACACTAAGATATGATGAAACGGGTGCATCAATATTTACACTCTTACATATAGATGAATACAACAAATACAACTAAACCTTCTTAAACCGGGCCCTGTCGTTTCAAACAACACAGTTTCGGATAATCGAATCATTGGTATGTAAATAGACCCTTTATTTACACGGTCGCTATGTCTAACAGCAACCGTTATCTGGCACAGCAGTCTAAAGCGCTGTAACTTACTGTAACTCCAGGCCTCAAAGTTACGACTAAAACGGTAGCCAATTCGACCTAAATTTCAGTTTGTCTCCCGTCTAAAATTCCGAGGTAGCCAAATAACTACCTTGAAAAAAATCTTGTGGCGACTAAATTCTATTGCTACACATCTGTAGACACAAAAATATATAACAGCTGATCTTGGAAAACATAATTGTACTCGCAAATAATTCCTCCTAAAGTCGACAATGAACAGAAATACAGAAATATTAATGTAATTAGTACATCATTTTAGTTGACAATGCTCATTGGATAAGCAAGGATATACAAATATAATCTTGTAACATAAATTGCATCATTGTTCGTCACGTTGGAGTCACAAGTAACAAAAATCAAGTACAGTTTCCATTAATATACAATTCCAAGACTAGTGCTATGACTTGTACATATTGAAATAGTTATTTGATGAAAGATGATTTCAAATGTTTTTGGCGACCTACACTATTGGCTTGACTTCTTGATTTTACCACTGGCTTCTGGACAAATATACTTGTAGCCAAACGGCTACTATGTAAAAATTTAAACTTTGAGGCCTGCTAACTGTTTTCAGTTTCATCACAGCTGTGCCAAGAATAATTGTTTGTAGGCTCGAACCCCAGATTCGCCCCGATAATGTTTCTTGGTTTGTCAGCACCTTACACACGCTGGTAGTTACCCTAACATTTGTATCACTTTGGAATGAGCTGACATCCCGCGATGTGAACGAACTACTTTAAGCGGCGTCAAACCAAACACACTCAGTCGTCATTATTTGAATACTACGTTAACCATAATAAACGCTCAATTATCTGTTTTAAATATTAAACTCCTACTAACAAAAGGGTACTGTCTAAGAACTCGGACACACACAAATGGCACAATACAATGTTCAAAGCTGAAGGTGGATGATATATGTTTCTTTCACTTTTTCACATTCAAGTATGATTATTTAGCTCAGATAAAATATTGGTTGAACGAGCTTAAAAATATTGCTCATGTTGAATGATTGGCAAGTCTAGGTATGTTCCCCTGACGCTGTTTGTCACATTGTATTTCACACCTGTGCTTAACAAACATTGTCAAAAGAGAGAGAGCAATGTTCTCCCTTTGATACGTTTGTGATTGAAATTTAAAGAGATGATCAAACACTTCTACATTAAACATGCTACCAGCTAATTTAAATACTTAGTATCGGTTATATACAAATTTTAATTTTGAAATTAATATCTAAAAATTACAACATATAGCTCTGAAGTATATTTGGGACCAGACATCACTTTCAACTACAGAAATAATACATTTGATGGATTTTAAAGTGTTTTTTTTTAATATTAATTATTGATAGGTCATCAGAGACCATACAATAATACAATTATTTTATGGTCTCAGTCGTCATATAATAGCATCTTTATAGTGTCATATGTTAATATCAACATTCTAAACAAAACAATAAATAAATAAGTACAATACATGTCGATATTCAATACCTTCACACAAAGACTTGCAAGGGTATAACGGTTTTCCATCCTCGCTGCATTCAGGGAAGTATAATCCACATAGATAGAACGTCACCAACTCTGAACAGTTGGAGTGTAGGACTGTTTCCGGTAGCATGTGGAACCCATCAACAGCATCGCTGATAGATCCATGTAGCATAATATTGGGAAGAAAGGTCCTGTTGTAGCCCACGTTTCTACAAGTGTCCAAAGTTAAAGCTGTACAAGAGTCTGAAAAAATGATGGAGTTATCATGATACCCCAGCACCAGCTTCATGAAGTTCATGATCTGGAGGAAGGGCAGTGCGTTGGTCATTACGCGACTTGAAATCCTGAGATGAGTCGTTGAGAATGACATGACGATCTTATATATGAAGTTAAATACCTCCGCCTTAGGGCTTGTCTCTCTTTGTAGAAATCCTGTTGCTCTTTTAACAAAGTTTTACTGCCGCATATGACGCTCAAGGACAGGAGTGGTCCTGATAGGGCATCGCGGCATTAATCATACCTCTTTAGTGTCCAATTACTTCGAAATTTTAATGTTTACCCAAGAAACCGAGATCATCAATATTTTCATATAATATTTACAAACACCAAGAGTGTTTATAAACCGGTCAGGTGGTAAATAGTTGTTGTCGTCCTTGTCCTTATTAATATTTTATTAATATTAGTATTGAGTAAACACTCCTGTCTACAACGAGAACGCTTCATCCGGCCCAGGACAATAGGCGCACCGTGTTGTGCATCAAACCTGCAACCTTTGACCCTGTCTCGGGATAATATATGCAGCTCGCGGAAGTCACTGCCTTATATGTGAAAAAATCACGGATCATTGGATATGAGATATTTTGTCCTCAGCTTGGTTGCGATTAAAATTCCGACCAAGATTATACGTTGTACTTGAATTTTTAACAAGTGCGTTTTCCTGAACATATTTTAAACTCATGCTGAAAATTTTGAAGAGGAAAGAATATCTGAGGTGACGTCTCTTTTTCAGTATTTGTTTATTTTCGTGTAAATCTATTGACGTTGAAACACCAACGAAAAAGTGGTATGCAATTGATAAGTTATAACATGTATGTCCACTATATAACAATGGATGTGAAAATGAATACCATATTGTCTTAATTTGTACCTTGCTCAAACAACAGCAGCAGCAACAACAACAAGACCAACAACAACGACAACATTCAGTTGTCTGATGATTGCTATGAAGACAGTTATTTTCGCCTTTGAGCAGCGTAAGGAGGAGAAACACATGTGTCCATGTTAGTGGCGATAAGCCGAACCTACTGTGAGATTTATAGGAGTGTTAAAACTCACTAGGTGGGGTGGAGCTGACGGGTGCTACTGTCGTTGTGGGTGGGGACGGCGGCGACAGACACGGCAGAGAGGTGTTGTAGAAGCTGCAGTTGATGCGGAGGGTGTTTTCCTCAATGCAATTTCGGTTGACGGCTGAAATAATGTATATAAGTGGAACTGATCACACGAGCATGAATATACGCTGGGCCGAGTTTTTGACCGTAAAATTTTAATTTACTCACATCGATTAATAATTTTTCGTACCAAGTGAACGACATTATAAATGATGTTTATCTCTAAAAATGATAATACAAACAAAAGGGACCATAGTATACAAGAACAGCTATTGACTTAATTGTTTAAGTGGGAGTTTGTATTTGTCTTTGTCCTTTTTAAGGATTCCAAACACTGCAGAGTAATATGCAAAATGAGGCATATCCGTCGAATCCAGTCCCTTTTTAACAACATGAATGTCAGACACCATGGAATATCCTGCACAAATGGCAGCGACTGCATAATAACATACTGCATTAACCAATGGCTTTAGGTTATCTTCATATACATAATCATTATACGTGAAATTGGATTCATTAAGGAGGGTCCAGATGGGGGTAAGGTAAACGTAAGATGAGTAAGATTTTAACTGAAAATGGCCATACAAAACAGCTCAGGGTAAATTAAAACTTGACTCTTTATTCTAATTGTGCTAAAATATCACAAGTCGTATGAAGCTAGAACCAATGACATAACAAAACCAGTCAGGTATTTGCAAAACACGCATTGCAGTAATGAAAGGAAAGCAGAACCAGCTGTCCACCTGTTTTCCCTACAGGCAGACTGTAGATCCGCACTGGCATAGAGATGATTTTGCATTTCATATTCAACTTGACAGCTTTTCCGCTAATAGCGTGTTTTGTTTCTCTGTCCAAACCGAAAAAACAAGGACTACCAACTACTGACCAAATTACTGACTTGTGGCCTCCCCCATCAGGACCCTCATTACTGACTACTAACTTGTGACCTTCCCCTTCACGACCCTCATTACTGACTACTGACTTGTGACCTTCCCCTTCACGACCCTCATTAAGGAGAATGAACAGGAGATCATACAACAGGAGATCATACAACAGGAGATCATATAAAAGGCGATATCAACATTAAAAACTGTTTTAGTTCTTACCACTGTTTCTTTTTTAGTGTGATAACATGTCGTTAGATTTTGTAAAGTGTAATAAAATGTCGTACTTAGAGATAATGTGTCGTAAAGTGTTATAAAGTCGCAATATTGTTTTGTAAGGTGTGATAACATATTGTACACTGTGATAACGTGTCGTAATAAGAGATGTGTCGTAAAGTGTGATAATAGGACTTGCTATGAGATACTGTTTGATAGTATGCTGTAAATCGTGATAACCTGTCGTTATATGACATGGCGTGTCGTAAAGTTTGATAACGTCTCGTAAAGTGTTGAGAACGCGTGATAACGTGTCGCAGACTGTGATCACGTTCAATAACGCGTGATGACGTGTAATAACGTGCAATAACGTGCAATAACGTGTGGTGGCGTGTAATAACGTGCAATAACGTGTAAAAACGTATGATGACGTGTAATAACGTATAATAACGTATGATGACGTGTAATAACGTATGATGACGTGTAATAACGTTCAATAACGTGCAATAACGTATGATGACGATGGTATCATGACTACTCACCCTCACACACATCGACGCAAGGGTAGATAAATTGATGGTAAATATTGCATTCAGGGAAGAAAAGTCCACAGAAGTAGAAGAGCGTGAGAGGGGAACATTCTGACTGCAGCGTGCTGTTGACGATCTGGTAGAAGTGAGAGATGGCCTGGTCTTCTGTGGTGCTCCCCCACATGTTGGGCAAGTAGGTGACGTTATAACCGACGCTGCGGCAGAGGTCGAAGGCAAGAGGGGAGCATTGCGCTGGAACATAACGAAGATGTCGTTTACACGATAAATCTAAACGTTGCCATCTGTATTACATACCGTCATTTCCGGGTTAACGAAGTTATGTTATGTAAGAACAGTTTTGCGTTCATGTAAGCGTTCCCAGGAGAAACCGTGTTGAAGACTGGCTTTCCAGATCAACGAGGAGAACTTTTTCCCAAAATCAATTTAAAGAAGCAGTTTGTAGTTTATAGTGTGAAAATTAGTACATTCATTTAACATATTTATATGCTGTTAATCAAGATTTAACTTACTTGGAGGTAAAGGCACAGTTGTAGTAGCACTCTGTAAAGTTGTCGTTTGTGTTGTAACTGAAGAAGCTACAAAGAAAAATCACATTCTTGATAGCTCATGAAAGTAGAGCTGGTCATCAATTATAGAGTGAGGGAGTTAAACGTTAACGTCATGATCGGCATTATTTCAGCATATAACGACGAGAACAAGTAATGCCTGCAGTTAGGAATACTGTACGACAAGGGGAATACGCCCCTTACATTCCGAGAACAAATATACTCACATGGATATGCTGTTGTAGATAGAGTTGATGTTGATGGTGTCACTGATGATGTTGATGATGATGATGATGATGTCGTTGATGTTGATGTTAACTCTGATGGCGATGTTGACTCTGATGTTGATGAAGCTGACGGAAACAATAAAATGCTGACTTACGAAATGACATTTAGGTTAGGAGACCTTCCGTTTATCTTTGAAGATTATACTTTTCATTCCAAACCCACTAGTCACAAAAAAACCCATTGTAATTGTATTGACGATCCCAAGACAAAGTGCACTTGATCGTAGTAACACGGGGAACTGTCGTATCGACAGTAACCATTGTACTCCTGATAACAACAGTTATCATTGTACATCTGAGAGCGACAGTAGCCGTTGTATCACTAAGCCAGTGTACTTCTGAGACCAAAGTAATCATTGTACTCCTGAAAACCCCAGTAACCATTGTACTCCCGAGAACCATAGCAGCCATTGTACACATGAGAAGTCGAGATATATTTTAATTCCGAATTGCTTACCTGTTGTTGATGATAATGACGAACTTGGAATGTGTTCTGCAAAATGTAAAAAACCCAACAATTTTTATAATTATTTGGTATTGTAAACATCTTACTGTGGGAGCAAGATCCTACATTTTGACAAAAAAAACAGAATCGTAACTTTCGCTTTGACATGACAAAACCACAATACAATCCTCCAATGTTTTATATCCCCCACAATAGATTGTGTACAAATATGGCAAACACACAAATTAAATAATGAAAAGTAAATAAATGATTACTAAATTTCAATTAAGGTAAATGTGCTTCAACGTTAAAGTTTCTCACCAACAATATTTATAGTTTTTGAATCTATCCCCAGGGAGCTGTCCTTTCCGGCTCCAGACTCCCTGAGCTGGGTCTCGATGAAGGACCCGTGCCTGTCCGTTACCCCCGGGCTTGGGGTGGGCACCGGTAAGTCCAGTAGCCCCGATGTGAAAAACAGAGTGAACGCCAGCTGACTGGTTGTCTCACTGCAAAGTACATGTAAATTTAAATAGAGAGTGAGTGAGTGAATTTGATTGTACGCCGCTTTTAGCAATATTCCAGCAATATCACGGCGGGGGACACCAGAAATGGGCTTCACACATTGTACCCATTTCGGGAATCGAACCCGGGTCTTCGGCGGGACGAGCGAACGTTTTAACCACTAGGCTCCCCGACCGCCCCGTAAATTTAAATAGAGATTACAAGGGTTTCTGTCAATCAAACTGTCTCTTATTCATTCTATGATAGGTATATATGATGTACACATTGGGATACACTATTTGGAAATGGCATTTTGAAAACCAAACACATTGAAAAGGAGCGTCACACGTCAGTTTGAAAGTTGTGGCGATCTACAATGGACTTTATGGAAGTTACACGTAACAACCGATCTTACGTACACTTCATATGTTCAGTATTAGGGGAGGTGAAATTGGGTTTAACGTCGCGTCCAAGATTATTGCACTTATATAGCGACGTGCATGCACGTGTATGTGTGTGTGTGGCTGGTTGTACTAGTCCGGACTGATGCCGATTTATAGTGCTAGCTCACTGAGATACCATACCGCAGTTTAACATGAATACCCCACTCAGACACAGTATACTGACTCCGAGCCGACCAGTCCTTGTTTTAGCCCCTTAATGCCGAGCGCCAGACAGGGTAACAACAAGTACAATCTTTTAACGTCTTTTTGTATGACGCGGCCCGGGATCGAACCCTGGACCTTCCGCTCTCCGGGCGGACGCTCTACCACAAGACCACGGAGGCGGTCATGTTCAATATTAAGCCTACCTATAACTCCGGACATCGGAGCCAGAGTAGGATTCTTCTAAAGGTGTGTCTTCCACTATGATATCCATCTGAAATAAAACGTAGTTGGCCATGATTCATTTGTGTGTATCACATTGAGATTGGAGTCGACGAAGAATTGAAGAACATTGTGTTCTTTGACCATATGCAAGTCACAACGTTAGATTGTTACTGAACTTTTATTATGAACACTGGTGGATAGTATTTTATCTGTTTGTGCATATAGAAATCAGTACAATATATCCACATAGTATACCCTTTCAAAAGTTGCGCTGGATACAATAACGCTTCATGACAATAAGATGAAATGACGCAGGTTGTCGGCATATACCACTGTCGTTAAACCAAAGGGCACAGGTATGGTGCTTACAGGCCAAAAAACATTCGAATCTAAGGCCAGTGAATCCTGGCACAGGTAAGGGGCGCAACTCTTCATAGCAAGTTGCGACACCTTTGACCACATGGCCACCGTTGACAACCGCCATCCCTAATCTGCCCATAATTTAAGATTGTATCTACGTTAACTCCACAATAACAACATCGGCACAATATGTAGAACCGTTCGTTGGTGTGGGAATACTGCTTCAATACCACTGACGGTGTAACAATAACTGGTACGACAATAACATGGATCCCCAAGTCAATACCACTGACGGTGTAACAATAACTGGTACGACAATAACATGGATACCCAAGTCAATACCACTGACGGTGTAACAATAACTGGTACGACAATAACATGGATACCAAACTTAATACCACTGACCGTGTAACAATAACTGGTACGACAATAACATGGATACCCAAGTCAATACCACTGACGGTGTAACAATAACTGGTACGACAATAACATGGATACCAAACTTAATACCACTGACCGTGTAACAATAACTGGTACGACAATAACATGGATACCCAAGTCAATACCATTGACGGTGTAACAATAACTGGTACGACAATAACATGGATACCCAAGTGAATACCTATTGATGGGTTAACAATAACTATGAAAATGTGACACTGTACACGTCACATAAATGCTCACCTCGCTTGAAAAAATTGTTTTTAACTCTTCTTCTGTACCCTTCCATTCGTGTTGTAATGTTAAACTGCCATCGTATGATATATGAACTGGAAGCATAATCAGCGTTAAATAATCAGAAATAGACTCTACAGAATAATATCTAGTTCCTAAGAGAAAAAAATGGATGTCTTGGAATTGCTGACTTGCAATATATTGTCACAAACAAAAATTCCCTTCCCAACCCCAAGAATACTTTATGCTCGATCCCTTTGTCAATACACTTAAGTTAAGAATGTATGCATAAATTAATATGTTTACCATGAAGTGAGGTATATTTACTACGTAGCGAAGATTACATTCCAAAACCCCAAAGGAAATGAATCAAACATTCATGCATAATACTGCGGGAATAACACGTACTACGTTATACTAAACTCTGTGGTGTATGGTATTATATCTGAATATGTTAAACACAGACATGTTTCAATAACCTGAGGTGACTTCATCTGTTCTGAATAAACACTTGAGGCGAAATTTTATTGCGATATTTCACCGCGCATATTCAAGGTCGATTTTACGTTTATAGATACTTTCTAGTACAAGTATGCTGCATTAATATATGAACCAGCTGTTCATAGTGAAGACTATATGCCCTTTACCAGTGAACAAATCGCTAATGTATTATTACCGCCCAACGCGCAGTAATGGTGTACAATGCTGAGACAAAACATTGTCTGGCTGAGATGAAGGTCAGTCTTCAAAGGTCAAATAAACCGTACCATCAGCCGTCGTGATTCACCTTTGAAATATCGTTAGCACATTGTCTATCTGACGCTCCATACAGGAAACACGTTAAGTGAGGTGTTTCACACATACGCGCGTTACACCCCCTCTAACCGACACACATGGTGTTACTATCATTAATTGACGACCCATTGCAAGCTCTTTAACCTCTCAGCGACATGATCGTGCTGGATGGACATGAATTTACAAACAGACAATGGGCGCGAGCGTCAGGGAATGGAAGGCGGTCATCGACGTACACGTTAATCATACTTCAGGGTGGTGTGTGTGTGTTGGGGGGGGGGGGGGGGGGGGTGGGGGGGGGTGGGGGGTGGTGGGGGGGGGGGGGGGGGGTATACTCCGATTGTGTAGGTGGTGTAGGTGGAGCTGCGTCATCTGTGTCATCATTTAAGCGACCGCCATTAACGCTAACCGGCTTTTATGTCAACTCTGGGAGATGTGACAGTCTTAATGACTATGCGACCCTGACACATTTAATTTAGAAACTAAGTCGGAGGTTTCAAACAATAACATTTTTGGACGTTGTATATTCAAAATGTAAGTGGTTATTTGCGGCATGGCTCTTTTTTTAATGATCTTAAAAAGTAAGATACGACGTCATTCTGGCATGCTGTGACGTCATGATAATTATATGGATAATATAATAATGCTTACATGACCAATGAAAATCCTGTTTGTTAGATTGTAGAGATAAGGCTATGATAAACTGTTCTGATAAATATTAGTGAGCAATATATATCATGAAGAAAAAGAAGAATATTTTGTGTCACGTGTTGTTCATCAAATATCAAAAGAGGTAGACAAGTGGTGTACAACACCTGGTTGTGCAGGCCTTTGAGACACAAATTGCATAAAAAATACAGTCAATAAAATATATTGCCAAGTGTTACATTAAAATATATACAAGTCACTTAATTTGTTATAAGAAATAAAAATAATTATTATTAAAAAATAAAAAATATAATAAATAAATAAAATGAAATAAAGTAAAAAATAAAATAAAATAAATAAATACAAAAAAAAGTTAAAAAAAAGGAATAAATATACAGATAAATAAACATTTGTAAAAGATAACGTGTTATGTATTGTTACAAGGGAGTAAGAGTTGAACGTGTATTTGGTTCTTAGCGATAATTTGCAGTGTTTCCTGAAAACATGATTACCATAACATGGCTCGATAATTATAGTACTGATACTATTTATGATAGTACTATTTACACAATACTTATAGTACATATCATGTACACGCAACAACGTTCAGTTCCATAGACCGTCATCCCCATGTTGTTAAGATAGTTGTGTATTTGAAAAGAAATCAGATCTGTGTACATTGGAAATAGAAAAATGACTAAAATTTAAAGTGAGATTAAAAGTAAAAGCAAAATGTTCTACATAAACGTGCATGTTGTTATTACCCTACCTGGTGTTGTTGATGACGATGATGTGGACGGAGATGATGTTGTCAATGTTGATGAAGACGATGAATCTGGAAAAAAAGAATAAACAAAAACTTCAAACATAGTACGTTATGTTTAAACGTCACTCACCAACTAAATACAGAGTGAAACAAAGCCCAGTAAATCATCGGAACAACGTTTTTCAACGCTGTGATACGTGGCGAACCAAGGAGACGAAGCTTCCAAGTCATAGATCCAGTACAAATTTCAGCAAAGATAATATATATTACTAAAAAGAAGTTAAAGAACGTCTGTTTTTTTCCAAATGAATATAGTAACTAGTACTCCGCCATGGTCAACTGCGTTACCTTCTTTTGAGTAATACATGTTGATCTGAATACTGAATCGCCAATGTCGCAGGAGAAATGGATGCATTTTGCAAGACCACAATCCATGTTTTCCGTATTGCCTTAAGTGGTTGAATGCTGTTTTACACCGCAGTACTCAAACTATAACACGACGTCCTGTAATAATCATGACAAAGGACATGGGGAAGATATATATGTATGGCAAAATTATCAGAACCGAGCATCCCATTTTGTCACCTGAATTAATAATGAATTCGTGAATTTCACCTGCATTTCGTGAACACAACACCAGTGCTCATGTCTCTACACTGACTGCCTCTACAAGCAAGTCTTTAAGATATTGTCCCTAGCGTATCAGTCCATAACTGGTTCTGCACCAAAAATACCTGTCAAATCTCCTGCAGATGTATACTCCCACAACATCTCCCCGTTCCAACAACCAGAGGAGGGCAGTTGTCCCCTCTCATAAACTCAAAACTTTGTGATGTCGCTCTTTCGGAGTACCAGCAACCACAAAGTGCAATACTCTGTATCACTACTTGGGATTTGCTGAATCCTTGGCACATTTCAAATCAAAGACACAACTTTTCAAATTCTACTTCAAAATCACATAAATCTCTTTTTTTTGTTTGTTGTTGGCGCCATGGACACGTTGTGTAGAGTTTGGGTGCGTTACAAGTGGAATTGTGACCGTTGTTTACTTGTTTGTTTTACGCCACACTCTATATCCGCACACATATTCCATCTATAAGACGACGGTCTGTAAATAATCGAATCTGGACCAAACAATCCAGTGGATGATGTCATAAGCATCGATCAAAACAATTTGGATACGCTTACATTGCGTGATCGTGCCAAGGTGGCGTGGGTCATAGCTCATGTTATCAATCACCGGTTTGCGCGGTCAAGGCTAAATTATTTAAAGGTCGCCATAATATAGCTGGAATAATGCTGCACTCACTCACTCACTCAACCACCCACTCACTCACTCACCCAACCACCCACTCACTCATTCACTCACAATTACTCACACAACGAAAGACCAACCCACACACTCAGCCAAAACACCCACCCACTCCCTCTGTTGTATAAGCTGCCAACAAGAATGCATGACATATTTTCGTCTTTAAACATATTATATATGTTGGCATGTGAAATACAAACATACAAAAGCAACATGCAAATACTTCTCTGCCTCTTACTTTTTGTAACTAACCACAGACATTCAATCAGTTCGCGCAACCTTTGTGTAATTGGTTCTCTGTGTGTTCAAAACGTCCCTCAATGTTCAACGTACCTGTACACTGAGCCACCCAACAAAGAGTTCAGCAGGGTAGACAAAGGCAGATCCATGGTTCACAGATTTCATGGCATGTATTATGGCATTTTTAATAAAATACTTTATTCATCAATAATTAAGTTTTGTATCAACAACGCCGAGTCACGATGATTTCTAAGGATTGCATTTTGCCAGCCTTTCAATGTTTAGATTACTTTCAAATTCAGTACAAATAATGGGGTTAGAATTTCTATTGAATCCGACTCTCACGTGATTCACGCTACAGCTGATCCTACTGAGTACCACAAAATAAAACCAAAATAACTTTAACGAAAACGGGTTCATTCTTTTATAAATTCCCAGGCAACTGAACACAGTTGGTGATAAAGATTGCCTAAATGTTGATTTTTATCACTTTTATTTGCATGAAGGGGCGTGTATGTTTTGACAAAGTTCTAGAAATATTACGCCTGAAGTCCAAATACTGCCATAAAGTGCCCCCCGACTGTGAAGACACCACGCGGATATACAATGGTGTAATATCACCATAAACGGCTTGAGAATATTTTCAGAATACTTTCAATTTCACCGGAATGTTTTTGTAAAGGCTAAACTATGTCAGGGATGAAATGATTTCGTCGCCTCAAGCTTCTCCCCGACCAGGTATAAAACCCTCGCTAAAATGAGGTTATTGGGAGATTTAGGAGAACCGGAAATACTCTAATAACTGCGAACATAGTTAAAGTAGATTTCGTTAATGTAGCGTTAACGGCAACGTGTCTTGGAAATAACAACGTTATCGGTTCATAGAGTATCAGGTACTGGGTAATCCATATGTCATATGTTCCACGCAACAACTAGGCCTGTCTGGATATATGATTTTCAGTTGCATACTGAATGGAAACACAAGATGAAATACACCGCGCAAGATGACATATTTAAAGAGGGATTTTGTAGTTACTAGTATTTGTCACTGACTGAGTTTTAAGTTGGTGGATGTTTTGTGTTACAAATAATTTGTTGTTACTGTTTACAGTTTTCACTTTTTGTAATCCATGCAGTCAGGTATAATGCATTCTATGCTAGACAAACCAAGGATCAGCGCAGTCGGGAATAATGCATTCTAGACAGGACAAACCAAGGATCAGCGCAGTCGGGAATAATGCATTCTATGCCAGACAAACCAACGATCAGCGCAGTCGGGAATAATGCATTCTATGCCAGACAAACAAACGATAAGCGGAGTCGGGAATAATGCATTCTATGCCAGACAAACCAAGGATCAGTGCAGTCGGGAATAATGCATTCTATGCCAGACAAACCAACGATCAGCGCAGTCGGGAATAATGCATTCTATGCCAGACAAACCAACGATCAGCGCAGTCGGGAATAATGCATTCTATGCCAGACAAACAAACGATAAGCGGAGTCGGGAATAATGCATTCTATGCCAGACAAACCAAGGATCATTGCAGTCGGGAATAATGCATTCTAGACCAGACAAACCAAGGATCATTGCAGTCGGGAATAATGCATTCTATGCCAGGCAAACCAAGGATCAGTGCAGTCGGGAATAATGCATTCTATGCCAGACAAACAAACGATCAGCGCAGTCGGGAATAATGCATTCTTTGCCAGACAAACCAACGATCATTGCAGTCGGGAATAATGCATTCTATGCCAGACAAACCAAGGATCATTGCAGTCGGGAATAATGCATTCTATGCCAGACAAACCAACGATCAGTGCAGTCGGGAATAATGCATTCTATGCCAGACAAACCAACGATCAGCGCAGTCGGGAATAATGCATTCTATGCCAGACAAACCAAGGATCATTGCAGTCGGGAATAATGCATTCTATGCCAGACAAACCAAGGATCATTGCAGTCGGGAATAATGCATTCTATGCCAGACAAACCAAGGACCAGTGCAGTTGGGAATAATGCATTCTCTGCCAGACAAACCAATGGTTGATAGTATGATCAGCTATCGGGCAGTCAGGTATAATGCATTCTAGGCCAGGGTACCCGTCATATGATACGTCCTGAATGTCATCTACCTAATGATTGCTGGTTTACATCAAACACAAACTGACGAGGTGTTGATAAACAGCCACGGAATGAATGTCAGTGACATAAACACACCCAAGTAAGGTACGGGCTTAATAAATAAGGTTGATAAATACCTTGAAAACAAGTCACAAACACTGATATCGTGTGCTTAACTTATATTTTTCTTTTCAAAAACCCGCACCAAATACCCCGACCCAGCCACCCCACGCACCGACGGGACATAAACTACTGTGACAGGACTAAATCGGACTGGCGAGTTCCCCTGTGGTTTTACTGCCAAATATTTGGACAAGTATCAACATAATGCCTCCCACTTCTTCCGGCTTAGTATTTTACCTTGATATATACCCTGCAGGCTGCAGGAGTCAGTAAACAGGTGCACGGGGGACAATGAACAGGAAATCTCTTATCCGAGAACTCCTTGTTCAAAGTCTATTTTCCATCACACCCTTATGTTGAAAGTATGTGTTCGTGATGAAGTTACAGTTATATTTGCTGGGATGTTAAGGTTGTCGTTTTTACACCAAAACTGGCATGAATTTCCCTTCGTGTTCATAAATGACATAATGTTAGGTCATATTTTTTCGCTCGCAAACAGGAAAAGCGACATTAGTGAAGGGATATATGTAAATATTTACTCAAACAATTTTTTACATTGCTCACTGTTATGACTAAGCGTTTTGTCTGCACAAGGCAACGCTTGAAGTAGTTTAGTCATGGAGATGTTTTTTTTAGCTGGACGTTAGTAAAATAAGTTAATTATATCTATCTCTGACTAAAAGTAAGTAATATTTGTTGTCGTCTCCTGGCCTTTGATGTAATCACATCACAACGCGTAAGTGAAATCGGCTCGTGGAATTTTCAATATGGCTGCCGTAACGGCCATCATCAATGAGATCGGATCTGAAAAAGTGATATGTTACACAACCAACATCAAACGACAGCACATATTGCCTTCACAACAGGACATTTCGACGTCACGTCGACAAAACGCGTGCTATATATATCCAGAGATTGCTGTCTTATGGTGTTTAATTGCTAAATGTCGGACATACGTGCACACGTTAATCGACACGGACGTACTTGTCCCTCGTGGTGTTTAAGTGTACTGAATTTAGTCCAACCCACTATCTACAATATCACTGGCGTGTGTTAAGTCCCAACACGCTCTTTCCCTACATCTGGCCGGCACACGTGGCCGACAGTCTTGCAATGTGGGCTGCCCACCTGTGACACACACGTGTCTTGCTTCTTAATGCCATACTTGACGACATAAACTTAACCGCGTACTAGCGCAAGAACAACCTGTTAGCACTAGTCAGTAATCTGTATCTTAGATATTGGCCGTTGGTTGTTTAGTTGGAAAAA